GGTTTTTTTCGTAAAGGCGACGCCGTTTTTTTTCTTTTTTTTTTGGTATATTTTTGGTGGTTTTTTTTTGTTTAAAAATTTTCCCCCTTGCTCCATCCCCCCCCCCCCCCCCCTTTTTTTTTTTTTTTTTTTTTTTCGTTGCCCAAAGAAGATCCATATCCATTTTCTTAGAAAACAACAGCAACAGCTAACGCCTTCTCCTTAGTCCTCGAAAAGGCACTTGCGCGTGCGGCACCGCATTCCCGCTTCGTGATCTGCGGCGGCATCAGCGGCTACAACAGCCTCGACCAAGAAAACCACGGCATCCGCAACATATTCCAAGTCATCACGCAGCGCATCCGCATGGAAGGCTTCATCGTCTTCGATTACCGGGACCGGTACCCCGAGGGGAAGAAGCAGCTCGGCCAGTGGATCGCGGAGGGCAAGCTGAAGGCTAAGGAGACCATCGTCAAGGGAGGTTTGAAGGTGGCCGACGCGGCTATGAGTAGCCTGTTTGACGGTGGGAATACGGGGAAGCTGCTCGTGGAGGTTAAGCCTATTGATCAGGTGAGTGAAGGCTGACGCTGGTATCCATTGGGGCTTTTGTGAAAGATTTGCTGACACTTATAAGTGACCAGTAAAATGAAAATAAGAGCCTCTTATAGCTAAGGTTTCTATACTAATCAATTATAGGAGGAAGTATCACGATATGTGACAAAATATTTGGCCAGATAGGTACCAACATAGGTAGGAGATGAGTACAAATCCATATGTACACTAGGCAGTCACCGTAGAAACAAGAACAAAACACATACTTGCCTAAATTATCACCATACAATCTCATTTTTTCACCGTGTCTCACCCCACCTCCTTCCCTTCTTACGTCTATTAGCCACGATCTATCTCGGATCAGAATGGCTGTCGACATCAGACTTCCCGAGCAATGGATCTAGAACCAGCATGGCAATTGCATTTTTTCCCCAGAGGTTGCTAGCTAGATCTGTCATTGCCTAAATTCTTGTTTGGATATACACGTAAAGTACATGGACGGCACAAGGGTGCTTGTCCCCGCCACCCCTTTGTTTTGACCTCAGCACTATCTCTGCTATCGTAAGTCGTGTCGTTGCCAGGCACCCTGTTTGGTTAATCTCAAACTATCACAGGCACACCTCAAGCCAACACGACTTTTTCCTAAACTCAAAACAACAAACTTTCTTCCTTCCTTCCATTCTTTTATTAAACGCCGCAACACCATGAGGTGTCCGCATTCAATGTCCGACCCATTTTCATATCGTCAACAATTGTAAACGCAGAAGGCACAGGTGAGTACTATGTGAACCTATGGTTCCGTTAAGCAAAAAAGATCAGGCTAACAATCCATATCACTGTAGTTGCCTTCTTGGTCGATTAATCTAACGTTTATTCATTCAACTACCTAGTAAGTACACGTTTTTTGTTCTTCATTTCCGTTGATCATACACTTTTCCCGTCTTCCCATTATCCTCAACAATACTTCATCTATCACAATCTTCCATGCCATATTTGTTGACACATTCCTAAAATTTCTTCATTGTCCTTTCGCTTCGTCGACTTCCCACTACCGCACATGGAAAAAATCTCCCTTGCCGCCCCTGTTTCGAGCTGGCAAGCATTGATCATACGGTGAATTCTAGAACTTGAATTCAAGGATTCATGTCATGTTTCAATTAACACACGATTCTTCACGTTACTCTTTCAACTTCTTGAAAGTGCTTTCTCCCTTCATGATCTCGCCAGTTATCGAGGACCTCCATGTCTGCTCAGACTGTTGTTCATTAATAAAGGATCTGAAACTAATTTATAAAACTTACAGATCCTATTCGCTAAACTCGGTGTATCAACATAATACCAGTTTCCACTTTGTCAATTTATATAATCGCACCTCCTCTCATGCTGCGAGATACTAGGTTACTGATCAACCGATCATAATGGAGTCCTCTCCGTTCAAATCCGGTTTAATTACAGGTACGTATGTGATCATCTGCAGTAAAAGAAAAACGGGAAAGCTAATGTTATGAATTGACAGGCAAATTAATTCCTATCGTTTCTACAGCCTCGCGATTGGGCCTACGATTCCTTCGCTAATTCTTTATACGAATATTAATTGGGCGGCTATTACAATAAAGATTCCTGGCTCCCACTTAAAGCCATCGTCGAGAAGAGACCGCCAGTCGAGTTCAAAAAGCCATTCAGGTCTCAGATCAGACATCACATAACCCAGGAGATCATTTAATCCAGCGTTGTAGGATTGTACATCGCTGTTCTACACTTGACGTTTCAACGCACCGATAAGGTCTGTCCAGCATATCAGGGGAACGTCCATATATTCCTTTGGACACGTTGACACCGCTACAATGTTCACCAGCCCGTCCTAGCCAATCCGACCCAGTTCGTCGTGACTAAACATGGGAAAGACCAACGAATTCCGGTTACGGGGGGACTCGGCCCTTTCTCAATACTTACCCTTCCTCTTTGGCATCCCATGCGGTCATTAATGAAATAGTGGCAAGTTATCCCCCCCTTGCTTCAATTATACTATGTACACTAACATTACCAGACAAATAATCCTAAATAACCGTTAGGACTACCTTTAGCACGACAGACTCCTATTCACAGAATTATGAGCACGAGATAATGGGAACCGCCATTTTGTCATCATCCACACCTACCTAGTCACCCTGTCACTCAGCTATTTGAGCGAATCCTGGAGACCCCACCAGTGTTCAAAGTGCAGATACATCCTTAATACAACAATTCGAAGCAATGGAACGGTCGATAAATAGACTCCCCGCTAAGGTTGAGTCGTTGAGACTGACCCTATAACGGGTACAAGACCAAGTGTCTGTGGACTCATCTAGTATCTAAAATCCCCGTTTGTCACGAGGCGGAACCAAGAGGCTAGAGAAGAACGACGTTGTTGCGCGAAGGGCTCTAACTAATCCCTTCCAGGGGATGCGGTATACATACATGAACCTTCCTTTGTCTACAGCCAAGGGCCAACTGCCAAAAGGGCGGCCTCGTACAGGCCGACTCCCGATCCTTCTGGGCTACCACCCAACCCTGGCAAGGCCCCTGACTACCAGCTCTCGCGGAGGAGGCTTCTGACATCCCCGTTTAATACTAGAACAGGGGAGGGGAACCTAGCATACACATAAGGGTTAGAGCCCTTATGTCTATGCTAACATAATTTCCTTATTGCTATAATGCAATATCTATAATACCGATAGCCATCCCCCTTGATGGTTTCAATCGGCACTTCCGGGGGGGAGTATGGGGTACTATCACAAGTTACCCGTTGGTGGCTGGCCCTAGGACAGAGTAGACAAAGTGCATTTCCTGTATATACACCGTGGTACTTCACGGATAGGTCACGCCACAAAACGAAACGAATGAGAGAGGATACAATGACGTTGTTGCGCGAGGAGCTCTAAGCTACTCCCACTTCAGGAAAATGGTCGGGAAACCACCATTCTTCCATGCGGGAAGAACTGGGGCCATTGCTCCATAGCAGATGCCCCATGAACTTGTCTAATCCAGAACATAACCGCCCTGTTGTACACATAGGGAGACCCCCTACTCTAGGGCCAGCCACCAATAGGCGGCCTCCTAGGGCCTCTCATGGCTGGGAGCTTCCGGACCTACCCAGCCCCTTGCTCCTGTTTCTCCAACAGCTGGTCTGTTGGAGAATCATGCTCGCTCAACAAGTGGGCAAGGATGTTCACATTGCGAACTACATCGTGATCGCGTGCCCTCTTCTTGAGTCATTTCAGGAATATTGATTAAGGGTACGCTGCGCGCAGAACAAGGCTCCCACTATTTGGTCAGTCAGATCTCCGTCCTGGAGGCGGAGAGTATGAAAATGGACTCATGTCTGGGCTAGCCGGTTGGGTCAGCGGCAATGCACGAAAAGAAGTAGACCGGCTGTCATATACGGGGAAACATTGGAGGGGTACCAATGGTATTTTTACGCGAGGAGCTCTAAATCATCAGCTGGGGATCGCGGTACACAAAGAAGAAGTGTCCTTTATTAACGCTGATAAATACTTGAGAATAATTCCAAGAAAATGCATAAAATTAATGTGCGATGGCCTTAGGTTGGCCAAAGCCACTGTGACTCATGATCATGTCGAAAAGCTTAGACACCATAGACATTGAAATTCGTGTAGGTACCTACTTAAGAAGCTATCCACTCACATTGTACAATCACGATCTCAGTCAGCGATATCTTTCCAGCATTTTCGTACTCTGCCATGAACAAAGACGTAGTTTCAGAGTACTCGAAACTTCTAATTCTGGAAATTTTGATTCTACAATATTCATGCCCCGACACGGAAGCCCGGGGAAAATATAACGAGTAAGCCACCTCGTCTTCTTTATGACGTTTCGATACCACTTTAGAAAGACTTAAGTGCCTTATTCGAGATCTTATCCAGTGGACTAGCACCATGCGGCACGCAAATCTAGCCACCCAACTATAAAGCCCCTATCCGTCAGACCTCAACATGGTGTACTTAGGTTAACCCTAGGACCATTGCCAGACAAATCCTTTGTGAAGATATGGGGAAAAGGTAAGTACGCTCATCGCGAGGGCAAGGGTATCCGAGCGGGTAAATGGGCCACGACGGACGACCTCGTCGTAAAGGGGTAACTATACGCACAGATCCCAAAAGGACTGAACGCCGGCTTATTAATAAGGGAGAAATCATTCTTGAGATCGAACAGAGGTAGATAGAAATCCTAAGATGATCGTACTTTAGCTATCTCCCCCGGGCCGAAGTCACCGTACTTCACTTCACTGCTGTTGGCTAGAGGGAGAACAAGAGCCGGGTTGGAGTGCGTCGAGGGTGGAACTTCATATACACTGCATCCCAGCTCGATCCTCGAGGTCTAGGGAGACGATGATGTTGAACTCCCTGAGGACTTGAGTTTCCCAGGAGCATGCAAGCGGGAGAATCGTTGATTCCGCTGTCACCCCGAGATCTGCGGGGCATATTCAATGTCCTCTGACTCAACAAGTACAGTGGTCCACAACATGTCATACACCAACTCTGAAACCAACAGCATATATCAGTAATGAAGCGGGTTCCTTTCCAAGGGTTTGGAGAACCTTTAATCAGATATTAGGGATCTTTGTCCATAGATACTACTGGTAGGTATTTAGTTGGAATAATCTTAGGTGCAATACATCATAATATTGGTCTCGGCTCAACCAGAAACACCATGGTTGGTAAATAACCCCTATTCTCATCTACCTAAGACTATAAATAATAGAAATACCATTGTCTTCTGCTTCATTGTCAAATATTCCTCAATAGGTTAGGTTTCATGCCAACCTTATGATCTTCTTTCCCGCAGCCGGCTACGACTAAACGAGTATCAAGGCCGTATTCCTTCATTTTCCCACCCAGATACTTTTTACTTAGCCTCGCATCGAGACGCATTTGATCCAATCGTCTATGAGATACTTCATCAGCCATGAAGAAGGGGTCGAGGACATTGCAATATGGGTCCAGTAAGCTATCCCCCATAGAAAAGTACTGGGGCGTGACGAGCAACACGCTTTTCAAAGATTTCATATTCTTGAGGATCGAGTGGTCCCAAGACGAGCCTTTAAGCCCTTTGCGTCGAAGGAATAGTGCAAGATTTCGCACTTTGAAGATCCAGTGGTCTTCACATAACAAAGGTGGCCGATATTGACTGATTGGGTTGCGCAAGAAGCGAAACCACTCGTCCTCGCGAGTATAGGTTCGGTGATAGGGGTAAGAACAGTAGTCGAAATAGAAGGTATCGCGTGAAAAGTCCACGCAGATTACAGGTTTATCCATGCATTCTAAGTGGTAGTCGTATTTGTAAAAACTCGTGTCCTGAGTCATAGGTCCTCCATAGCGGACATTAATCGCACCGATAAGCTGAATCTTACTCAAGAAAGGCATGAAGTTTGATAAGTGGTCTCTGTCCTTCAGCACCACTCGATCGACGTAAGATTTCCTCTCGACATCTACTGCTGCATATTCTCGACGAGGGGCGTTGTTTAGAGAGAAGTAATGTCGGGTAGGTGGCCAGTTCAAATGCCAAATCGCATACTGAAGCTCAACAGGTAACTTCAGAAAGTTATGGAACTCGGTGGTTGGCTCATATGCTTCATCGTCCTGGGTAGATTCCGCCATTGTTACCATGAGGGTCTATGTTTCTATAGGTGAAAAGCCGAGGATAGAAGAGGAAAGAAAGCACAGGTGCATTTAAAATACTTCTAAAACTATTAATTAGGTACTTGTTAGGTAGTAGATGTCTTCTTGTCGCCTCAGAAACATGCTCCTCATCGATAGGTTTTGGATACTCAGGGGCTGCAATGTTCAAGGCATTCTTCCTCCAAACTAGATGATACCTCGCAAGGTATCACTTGGACTCTATGATTACCTCTAATCAGGCAATAGAGGCCTCATTTCTTGATTAATGTGTTCTATAACTATTAATGGGAAATAGCCTTGGAATTAATACTAATAGGTACCTGGTTAGGCAGGTAGAGAAACCCTGAAGAGATTGAACAAACCATGAACCCCATGGAACCATTATTTCAATTACGGGTTTAGGTACAGTACACGCATCAGAAGAGAATGTTACGATGGCGCAAGGGCTCGACCCTGACAGCCTTGCATGCTTCATATTCACGCCGCGAATGTTGACGGCGAGGAGTAGGATAACCCCTTAACACGTATATACCTAGTAGATGACTATGCTCCCGGTGTAGCAGGATGGAGAAATATCAAAATGCAAGATGTGGTAAACGCCACCCGAAGGACTCCATTCGGACAAGTGATAGTCAGAAGCTCAAGTCCGCCCGTCCCCAGATATAAAACAGGTTACCCGGAAATAAAAAGGCATATTCCAACCCAGTCTCTTTCGAGAAGAAACGCCAGTGTTATCAAAAAGATAGGTAAATGCCCTCAGCTGCCCGCTGCATTGCCCACCAAACCGTTGCAGGAGTTGCCAATTCCGGATCGCACCGAAAAGGCGTCCCAGTGAGTAGCTTAGAAGCTACAAAAGATGACCTGACTATGCATGTCCTAGGTCATTATTTATCTGATGCCTGGATATCCGCCATTCCCGGTTCCCCTTGGTCTCCTGCAACATCCCCCCTTTCCCCCCTAAAAGCGCCGCCGCCGCCGCCTCCGCCAAATGCCTGTGGTATACTTTCAAGATTTATTCGCTATAACATGAACCTGAACAATGACCAGTGGGTATATATGTAAGATAAGTGCAACGACCGAATGAACAGTGAAAAGAGAATAAAAAAAAATCAAAAAAAAAAAAATCAGATGCGAAAATGAGAAGGAACCTAGGAGTCGAACATGTGCTCTAAGCCGAATTCGACGAGTCCTAGGCCTACCGATGCCATATGAAGGAGAGCAAGAAGAGCCGCTTCCAAATTCAAGCACACGAGAAATCAAGCCCCATACTCCGCGCAACGCCCTGCCAATCCCACACGCGCGTCCAGTCGCCGCGCTCCATCAGCCGCCAGACCTCCTCGAGCACCTCGCCGATGCGGTCGCAGTTGCGCAGGCCGGTGTACCCGCGCACGGTCCTGATGGCGGCGCGGACCCGCTCGCGCTGCGCCGGCGCGAAGCACGCGCACCCGATGACGAGGCACGGCACCAGCAGCAGCGTCTGCACCGGGTCGCTCGGCTTGAAGGAGTCGAGGATGGCCAGGGACTCGTCGACGGCGAGGGTGATGCGGTGGTCGTGGTGCGGCGGGTAGCGGATCGGCGGCGGGGAGTCGGCGCGTGGTGGCGTTGTCATCGTTGTTGTTGGGGCTGTGGCTGTTGTTGTGGTGGTGGTGGTGGTGGTGGTGGTTGTCGTATGCGTGTGGCTGCTCGTGGGCCGCTCGGACGACGAGGTGGGCGGAGTGCGTGCGGAGTGCGGCTGCGATGTCGGCGACAGGGGGATGATGCTCACTGCCGGCGCTGGTTGGGTGAAGAGCGCGGGTGGCGAGGTCGACGAGGGCGGGTAGATGGTCCGGAACAGGTATACCCACATCATCTGCTTGTACAGCAGCCCGACTCGATCGCGGCTGTCGCCCGGTGGCCAGTGCGGCGTCCACTCCCTGATCGCGGAGTCGATCTCGGCTGCTCGGTAAAGCGACGTGTAATCCACGACTGGGTCCACCTCTGCCGCCATGTTCGCGCGGATGTTGTTGCGGATCGACGTTATCTGCGCCAGGTAGTGGAACAGGCCGTCGGCGACGCCAATCAGACGCGCGGGCTGGATCTCGAGCCAGGGCTCCCAGTCCTCCGTCGCCAGGCGGGGCGTGTGCATGTCGGGGTACCGGATGAGCTCGTCCGCGAAGACGCGGTACTGGAAGAACTCGGTGATGAATATCAGAAACGCGTTGTCCGGGGGAGGCGACTGCTGGATGAGGTTCTTGTACGCCTGGAGGTGAACCCGGTGCTCGCCATTGGGATTCCCTTCTGCGAGCGTCTGCAGTAACAGGCAGAGCATCTGCCCGTAACGGGGTGACAGGTTTGCCTTGTTCTTCGGGTCGTTCTCGTTACCCACCGGCTCGCAGAGCTTCTCCATGGCCGCGTTGTGGTGAAAGTGTGACCTAGTTAGTAAGGACGTTAGGCTGATTTTCGGGTTGGACCCGAGGATCTTGATGCCGTATGGGGTATCGTAGTCAATATGTCTGCTGGCCACAGAGAGGATCGAATGCATGAGGCCTCGGTGCTCCACCGCCATCTGGAGCAGCATATCCTTGAACGCGTTCTTGTGCTGCCCTTCAACAGTCAGCACACCACTTAGATGACTGATGTAGTGGTTGAGGAAGACCATGTCCTCGGGCGTCTCGACTCCTTGAAATATTGGCTGAAGAGTAATGTGTGGCAGACTGTGCCGCTTCTGTCGCTCTACACCGAATGTTAGAGGATGAGCGTACACCCAAATGCTTGTTATTAATACCTTCTTCGGCCTTCTCCTTCCCGCTCTTCCAGATCGTCTTCTCGTGATAGCCCTCACAGACAACAGCATTCTTCTCACAATTCAGACCTAGAAGGGTTAGATAGGGAGAAAGGGGATTCTGTGTAACCATCAACTTACAGCGTGGCTTCGCCTCGTCGCATTTCTTTTTCCTCTTGCGGCATGTAATACATCCGGTCTTGGAACGTCCTTTGGCTACCTTATTCGTCGATACCTGAGGTGTGAGAGGGTGCTTTCGGGGGCGTCCTCTCGGTCTTTTCATCTTCGTCAGTGGCGCCGCTGCAGCGTTCGGCTCTGGTATTGGCGTGCGTGGAGCTTCTTTAACCTCGTCCATCTGGAAGCCTTCATCCTCGAGCGGCTCAAGTTTTGGTACCGTCAATACATCGTCCGAGTTCTTTTCCCACGACACATCATGGTCAGCTTCCTCGCCCGTTTCGGGACCGTCGCTGTAGCTAGTACTCCAGGATTCTGCACATGACGACGTGGCGGAATGGATCATGGTCGGCACAGAGGATGCGGATACACCCACGGCGGGAATCTCGAGTTCGGTGCTGATAGGGGACAGTTGGCCGGTATCCATTCGATTGGCCTGGACCGGATTTGCCCACATCGGCGACGTCGGCATGACAACAGAGGAGTTTCCTTCGGAGGCCATACTATGACTATCTGACCATGGCATGTCTCCATCGTCCGTCACGAGGGCCAGTTGGCGGCAGTCCATAGCTCGTAGGATGGTGGTATATCATTCCCACGAGTAATTTAAGCAGAAGACGGCTTCCGTTCTTGCAAGGGGGGAATACCGAAACCTGTACTTCATATGAAAGCGGGATAAGGTAACTGCAACGAAGAATATCGTAAACGATAAAAATAAAATAAAAAGAGCCGGAGTGGCAATTCCCACCGAAGATCAGATCCTGTAGTATACGGTCATAGGCCCAACCTTGAGGATAATCCTGCAGAAAGGTATGGGGAAATGTGTCAAGCTGGTCGCAGCTAGACGGCGGCAGTGATTGGTCTCCCCAAACAAGAGCCTTGCTGCAGACGTCGGCAAAAGGCAAACGGGCGGGCAATCGAAGACGACCCGGCCGTCTGATTGAGCTGCAGCGATGGATGGCACGTCTTGTAGAGAAGCGAGGAAACAGATGGAGGGGTCGGGCTTGGGCAGCGGAGGTGGAGTGTAGGTCTTATTTGGACCGTGTATGTGATACCGTGGGGCGGCTAGCGGAAAACGAAGATACGTGGGCGGGAGATGCACATCAGCGTACCGTAGTAGGTAGAGTAGGGGTAGGACTAATGGGGCAGGGTTGGATGGGCAGACGGCGAAGGCCCGAAGACGCAGAGAGCTTTCTCCACCCCCATTCCGGGCCCTTGTACGCCCTGGGGGGGAAGGGAAAAGGGAAAGAGAAAGGGAAAGAGAAGAGAGAAGAGAGTTTGTGGGCCGCTGAGAATCAGAATATAGAATGTTGTACACGGAAAGCTGCAACAAGTTGAGAAGCTGTATGTATATGACGGACAAATAGTATCGCGAGTTACCAACTCAGCAGACCGACAGACTTTCTCTCTCTTCACGTGTAGGTACAAGAGCGTTTGAGAGAGGCCAGGTCGTGTGTAATACGGGATACAAGCAGCCTAGAGAATTCTACGGTGAATAAACATGGAAAGATACAGCGAGTAGCATAGAAAAGTCCGGTATGGGCGAACAAGATAGGTACGAGATGGCTGCGATGAGTATTGCGATGCGAATGCAGACAGGATGGGGTTGGCCAGTCCTTGGCGCCTCTCAAACCCCCTGCCGACCATCGCAAGGACCCCCGTCTACTGTTCCCACCACTATGTGGTCCCAGCATACACATGCAGCGCTAGCGGGACCCTGCGAGACTAGAAGGTACTTCGTGATACTTGGAGTGATGTGTTTGGTAGCTCGAAAGGTGTTCCCGCAAGGCTCTCAATCCGGAAAAGAGTTCCCATAAGATGCGGTTTGTTGGATTCTTTCGGTACTAATGTAAGCCTAGTCGTTCGTGGTACTACATGTTGTAGATCCAGCTTTGTATCGTTCGCCTTGAGGATCGATCGCAGCCTCATGGATTTTGTATACCGCGGGGGCGACGACATAGTAAGGGATCATCTGGTGACCTGTGCACATAGCCCGGCTGAGTACGGCGAAAGGACTACACTAAAGGACGGACATTAAACCGAGTTGGTGCGCCATGCGACGTCTCCAGCTTCAGGCGGACTGTTCGTTAGTTGATCTCTGAACGGACCGGGCCCGAGCGAAGCCTATCTCACTAAACCCGCATACATAGTAGATGTTGTATGACGGAATGCAAGCCAAGAAGGGGTGACAGTGTTCACGGTTCACCTAGAGGTCCTCTCCTCCATATCTCCTTGAGCGAAGTGATGGATATTTAGTGCTGGGCAAGTCCCCATGATATCTTTCGGGTCGGAGATTTTTCGTCCTTCCTATTACAAACAGCTCTTTGGTGTCATGAGCCATAGAAGAATTGGCGTTTGCGATGTTGCATTCAGCTGTTTTGCCGCCCTGCTACTTTCTTAGAAAGTCACCTTGCGCTTGGCGAAAGTGTCTTGACTCAGATCGTTGAAGATGGCTACTAGATTGAGCCTTTTGGTCTTGATATTTCATGACAGCGTTCAATTGCTTATCAGCAAAGACATCTCCTCTTTTCTTATTGATAACTAATAGTATCCAAAGTCTTACGACGACTACCTATTGATTATTCGTTGGGGGTGATGAGTAAACCGATGCGAGCGGGAATAAGAGCGGCCATTATGGGTCAGAAGCTGGGGGCCCCTACGAGAAGCTAGCGATGGAGAACGAGTTCCGAAACGGATTGTGTTCATCTCTGGATAATAAGCATGGTGTTCTGTAAAAAGTTGGGATCGAGGGAGAAGTTTGGGAAAGGGGACAACAGGTTGGGAAGATGGTAAGAATTTGATTCGACCGGGCTTTGCGGATGGGCCGCCCGACCCTTGCTGTGGCGTCCTGTCTTGGTCTTCGCTGTCACTGTCATGCATTCACGAACTCTGGAGTTTATTTAGCGACGTGCATCTACATACATCGTCGTCTGCATCCCCTATTCGACCGAGCGAAAAGGGTACGGCGCGGATACAAGAACGCCCACATAAAACTTCTTCGTACTAACATAACAACCCAGGTGAGAATCCTTCCCGGGTCGATCATCAAGAACCGACACCCAGTCAGCCTCTGATAAGTCTGGTAAGTCTGGGGATGCTGTTGTGTTACCCCAGATGACATTTGTGACTGGCTATTGATAGCAACTCGCATCTGACCCGACCACCGAAATGTCCAGGTTAGGATGTGTTCACAGCGACTCCCGGATGGATTCCGAAGGGCCACTCGGCCCGAGGCGAGAGGACATGAGATGAGGAAGATTGAGCCGCAATATCGAGGCTGGAGAATCTGACATGCGAAGCCCGAATTGTCGCATGGGATACCTATCGATATGTATGTAGGGTTCGACAGGTTTGCGAGCTGATGATTTAAGTGGCTGTAGCAGTTCGTGACCCTTGACGTCCCTTAAAGAGCCAATAAGGGGGAGGAAATTTGCTTTTTCCGTGTTACCAGCGTCGCGACTTTGTCCTTTCCAGGTATATCCACAGTGAACTATTTCAACGTGGTAGCTATACCGTCAGCTCTTAAGGCGTATCCTTGTTCTTCTCCAGGGGTTTGGACCTCCTAGCGGGAAGCGGGATCCAAAATCGCAGATCTGTTCATCGTTTTCGGTTCTGTTACAAATGATAAATCTTTGATAACATATTAAAATGACAGATTGATTGCTCGCTAGGACGCATGTCTCATTGGCTTATTGATCAAAGCAACTCATCTAATCGTTTTCTGGTAATGTTTCTTTCACGGCAAGATACAGCATACCAAGTCATCAGTATTTTGCAAATTCGCGACCATCGCTAAGGCTTCCATCCCAAATCCCTCATGAACAATCGTAGTAAGTTTCTATTATGTACAGTGTGCGGAGCGTAGATCCTACTAGCAGGCAATAATCGTTTCTGATTCGCTGACCATGCGTATAGCTAATGCCGGCGAGAGGGTAAGCCAATCACATTTCCGGCAGGTTTAATCAATCACTAATTAAGATATTATGGAATCCAACAATCGTCCCATAACGTCGTCATAGGGGGGAATAAAGGCTGCCCCAACCTACTCTACCTATCCTTCGGCATCTAGGTTTGCATGGGAGACTGACTGGCTGATGTACCATCGTTTAACGTCGTTTACCATCGTTTACGGGGATGCCCAGTCCCCTTTGCAGGTTGGGGTCTAAATAATTCTGGCAAAACTACCTAGTTAGTCACGATATCAGAAAAGGAGTACGGCAGAGTACCAACGTACCATGGACCCCACGATCTTCATTAACCATTCCAGGTATGTTAGACGCCGTATTGGGGGAACATGGACATTGATTTGCATAGCTCATGGTTCCCCAGAAATCTTTCCTCGCGCCAATCCTCTTTGGGCCTCTTTGGGGCCTCGGAAACCTGCCGGACCATGAAGCCTACTCTCCATACTTGGCTCAATCCCAGGAATATTCCAAAGCGTGTGTAACAACCTCTCGCGAGGCTTGGATTGCAGATTACATTAGGTTACCCACTTTCGTCCGTCGTGTGGTAATATTCTCAACATTTTGATGAGCGTAGGATCGTCTAGCATGTATGGGCATCAACGCTCTTCATAGGAGATGAAACACGCAATGCAGCGCCGTGCCGTGCTGTTCAAAGATGTCGCCAGTGAGCTGCGGTAGCACAACACCAGACATCCATAACGAGGTCATCGTACATTGTCGCTAATCTTCCTCGCTGCACTGTGGCGTCGTTTTCACGAGCTACGGCAGCATGACTGCCCAATACGATAACCAGATACGCACCCACGCGACAGATGAAATCTACGAAGAGGGGGGCCAGAGCGAAGGGACGCGGAGAGCATGAGTATTTCGGGCTAGATCGTAAACATATACGGCTCAGACGAACGTCGCATGCAGCTGCCAAAAAGCCGCGTCTCCGGCCTACCCCGAAGTCGTCCTTGGATTCTGGGGTCGGATCTGATCATAATTCGACAACATCTTGGCGATCATGACTTATGATAACCGAACGCGTGCGAGGCGCTGTAGGTAGGTACATATGAAACTCACCGAAAACCGAACATAGCCAGCAGGTAGGACAGACAAACAGAGCGTCTATACCTAACTTTAGAGCAAACATGTCGCACACTGCACCATCAGGTTCTGACGTGAGGATTTTTCTGCCCGTATACGTACGGGTGCAGAACTCTTAAGTAGCAGGGGTGAAGTGTGAAAGTAACGTCAGCCACATAAATCGTACAATATGCGCAGATCACTACGTTGCCTATTTGGCCATAGGTGTATGAGCCGGCGCAAGACTAAACCGAAACGTTGGATGGTGAAGATTCGAAGATAGGGGTCCATTATAGTCGAGATGTTCCAATGTGTGGAAACAAGCGGATGGGTACCTGGGTATGTTATGTTCCTCCAGCTTCCTCCCAAGTCACCTGTGAGCATATGCGAGGATCCATTGAGGTGCATTTTGCATTCGCATATCTTGCGCAAGCCACTAATCAATCGGTCGTATAGCTTTGTATTGGCTAGGGTCACCGACGAATCCCTGTTTCCATACTAACTCGACTGTAATAACACCATACCCCATCGTAATGCTTTATGAGGCTAACATACGAAGCGACTAATTCTAAGCTATAAGCGGTACTTAGGGATACATCGACGCAAATCCCCTCTCTTATTTGCAGTTCTTACATCAACACTCATCCATAATGCAGACCACGAGGCCCATAAGATGAGCGCCAAGCCGCGCCTATTTCTTACACAAGTCGGAATTAGGTACCGCGAGACAGGTTAACTTAACCTCACCTTTGGTTAGGCCTACATCGCGCTCCATCGCCGTGAGGGGTGAGTATGTTAGACCTTGGTAAATGCTTAATAAGACCCCGTGGTGGGCTAGCACCACTTTGATGCCATTCGGATCCACAGAATCAAGATTTTTGGGTGGACAGGAAGCAGATGGAGCAGATGGCTCCTCTAGCTAGGCCTCTTGGCATCAAGATTGATTGCTTCCTTCTTGGTAGTCTCACGCACGCCGCTCGAAAAAAAGCCTGAAATACACGGCACGGTTGTTGATCACCCACGTTTTTGAATTCTCCTTAGATAACCGACCATCTTACTGCTACAAATAGAATTCCCGCCTCATCGGATCGGCATCTAGGATGTGGGATGCCGTTCGAAGTCGGGTTCCTCTGCCTACATTCCATAGCGGCGGGTCGATCATCGCACATCATCGTGGTAGACTACGGCTACTAGAATGCCAAAAAACTGGTCGAGCGGTCGCGCTGGCAAATGGTAACCTAACTGTGCCGTCCGGATTATCTCGCTAGGTTAATCTTGCTCCGGCGGCTCGAGGCTAAGTCAAGACTAAGCCTACAGTCAAGTACTAGCTCCAAAGATCACCACAACTTCTCCTCATGAAATTGAACTACAAGGCTCGATCATATTTAATCTGAGGGGGAACTTAACTAAGGCTCGTTGATCGACGCACACGTTCACTTTCCTTACCGAGGCGACCCTAGAAGGTTGAGAGGAGATCTATGCGAGAAGATGAGTATGTGGTTAGAACGTTCCCAGAGAAATCTACAGTGGATAACACCGCCGCCTTACCTGTCCAATTAATATCTGTAACGAGATCTGGATTCTCAATTTTCCTCGGCATTGGCATCAACTACCCCGAATCATCTTCTAGCAGCATAGCCTTGTTTTCCTAGAGGTTGGTCCTCTACCGGCTTTGGGATTCAGGAGCTTCTGTAGCATTATTATCGAGTGAGTATCCAGCTCCGCACCGGTGACAGAAACTTCAAGGTCGCGAAGACCTGCCTCTTTGCTAGCAGCGAATTACTACGATGACACATTAGCAAAACGGAGTTCGGCATGCTCCTTCGGCGAACATAGCTAGGACCTGCTAGCCAGACCTTTTTACTACCTAAATCGCCTCCTATCATAGTCGTATCCCCAAGATAGTTGAGCTCTTCGAATCGATCTTGGAAGCATACACGCGAGTATAATTCTAACAGAGCGCTGAACAGAGCGCTCGCCGACACTTGAGAGTCTTCCGGGTCGGCGACTGAGCTCAGCGGTCCCTGGATATCCCGTTCAGATAACTCCACTGCGGGCGCTATCACAGAACTTGCAGTTCGGGCTGGTCCAGATTCCTACCCCCTCAGACATCTAAGGCTCAAGATGCCAGACTGGGCGATATTCGGTGCCCAAATCTTCATCTTCACAGTAAGATGCAACTTTAGCCTCTGCAAACACTTCTAGATTCATGCGATTATGACGGCATCAAACTTACTCGCAGACTTCTCCGCGCTTTGGAATCAAACATCGCGAGTCTTTCCTAGGTGGATGGCTTGGTCACATGTCTATTCGACCGAGCTACACCGCTTCATGGGATCGTGATTGTAGCCAACTACTAAGATAGAGACACATCACTGACAGGTTTGGTTGATGCCCATCGCCGGTCTAGTTTAATTTATAAAACTGCCCAAGCCTTGCCTCCGGCCTACGTTCGGGGGGTGAGCATACTAAAAACATACGGCAAGTCGATTATTCTAACCAAAGAAGACGGCTCGTTTGCAACGTGGTCGAACGGGACTGGCGTCGTTCTAATGTCAGGAACGTTGATTTCTAAAATATTCGCGCTAGCTTCAAGTGAGATTGGGATCGAGGGGGCGAATGGGATCGTTTAGCAGTGGGAAGATAGCCGAATGTGTAACCTCCCCCCATCTTTCCCCCGTTTGTCTAGCCATGGCCAAAGAAAAAAACCGAAACTAATGTGTCCGCTTCGTCGAGATTGTGCAACTCGACCGTCTTGATACATTCTCATCCAAACGTCTTGCCTCCCCGTGTGTAACCGTGCGAAAGCGGTTCAAGCCTTCATTGGGTGGCCGTTGGGCTTCGGTGCAATCGTAGCCTTGCTTACCCGAGTTGACAATCTCGGGACTTAGGGGCTTAGGGACTTATCTCACTTATAGGAACCGTCGAATGAGAATCATTGGACGCATCATGCTTTCGTGAACGAGAGGGGCGCGGGGAGGGGACGTCCGATTTGTGGATATCATGTGAGTTGGTTCCGCTGGATTGGGCTATGGTGACCCAATTGCATAGGTATTCCGGCTTGTGATGAGGCTGGGGCTGTATGTATACGCTGCGATATTCGGCAGTCGAGGAGGGGTTTTTTACGACAGGTCTATCTCAGCTATAATGCTAAGCCCCGTAGTGAGCCATAAGGAGCCTTGCTGCAGGTCGATACCAATGACAGGATTTCACATGGCTTTCTAGATATCTAAGTCTTACTTCGGCCTATCTGCTAGCGATAGATGGTTAAGAGTATGTCTGGTAGGCTTGGCTTTGGGATGATAAACAGTTTTCGATTCTCGATGAAGAGTCAAGGTAGTAGAGAGTGAGGAATCGATCGAAGATTCCATAGAAGTGAAACCTCACGATGTCAATATGATGTATCCTCGGTACGGACATGTCGTTTTAATGTTTATAAATTAATGAAGGTACCTTTTAGTATATCGAAGAAAATTTCTATACAACACCCCACGCATTTGCAGAGCCTTATGTCTAGAGCCTACATTCCGTGGGCGGCGATCTTGACGCAAGGCCCTAACATCTCACGCCATGTCGGAATACAAAGTCGCAGAGAAAAAGGCGATCGTTTCCGCTTTTTTCTTCCAGATATGGCCCCAGTGCTAATGTTGGAGATGCCCCGCGGCATGCCAGCGTTGCATCCCCGGGTGGTTCATGCATAAGTACCCAGGTATGCATGTGTCAAGCTGTAAATCGTAGCGGAGGTGGGAGAAAAAAGGTCAAGCAGGCCGCCGAGAGGGTCGCCTGTATAGCAATAAGCTCGCTGTACCCCCACTGGCCACTGATCCAGCAGCGAGATCGAGATGGGAAACGCGTGCAGGGGATGACGACGCTGACAGCATGCCAGCCCGCAAATATTTCATGGACTTTGAGGAACATATTGCCTGTCATCACTTCGCCTTTTTACAACCGAGGTTTCCCGGTGAGCCCTGGCTACTGGGACTCAACTAGCCGTTATCACTACTCCATTCAGGGGCCGTCGCAGTTACCTTCAGAATTAGATTATCAGGGGGCGCCGTCAACACCATCTGAGGCGAAGTACGCCAAGAAAGTTCTATTAAGCATAAATGAACGTCACTATTCAGGCAGACGGGTAGCGTTCGGCGTCTTTCGGCATCTTGATAACCTATGTCAATCTGATTACATGATACGTTGACATATTTAACATTATCAGACACCTTGTCCTAGTGGTTGTTCTGCGATGCAATAGAGGAAGTTTGTTCATGATCGATAGCCTACCGTGACATATTTAAATTAGTAGTACCCCTTTAATTGGCTTAGGTCTAATAAGCCCTCCCTGAACGAGGCTCGCTTGATCGGGTGGGCCATGCCCAGTATGCACGAAATGTTACCCTCAGCTAATCAGAGCTTGTCCTACCTAGGTACCTAGGTAAACAACTGCTTAGATGCTAGTGGGCTATTGCATAAGAGAAATGTAGGGAAAAGGCCATAGAGTTGTACTAGGTGGTTAAAGGAAATAGTCTCGACGGTTAGTTTCCTCTAGCATCGTCGCTAAAGGGGCCTGGGTTGACGTAAGTTCCTAGACGAGGGATATCATAACTTCCGTTCAACGAATGGACATTGTTTCTAGTGAACAGATGTCCCTCGTGAAACCGTCGCGAACTCGGGCATATAGCACGACTATTATCAAGGAGGCAGCAGATGAAGAGTGCGATGCTATCGTGTCTGTTCGCCTTGATATTAAAAATATTGAACCCTCGATACCGTAGACTTCCCGTTATTGCTTTACAGTTGAACGCCTTTGTCACAAATACAGAAATCTATGCCTTTGAATTCTCGACCTGATCCAACAGCTCCTTCAAGTTTAGCTTTGTCAGGGATGTATCCGGATGCGTCTTCCCAAGCACCCGACTCTGAATTTTAAGCGTCTCTCTCAGGAAATTCTCTGATTTTTGGATCTTTTCGGGAGAACCCTGCATGCAATAGCTCACGGCTAAGCCGCGCGCTGTCCGGAGAGTAGCTGGGTTGTCCCGTCCAAGCAGTTGAAGCTGTTTGGAGAGCACATCCTCGAGCTCACCAACCGCAGCGTCGATTTGGCCCTTTTCGCCCAGCATCATGGCTATGTCATGTCTTGTTCTCAGGGTGTCGGGATGGTCTGCGCCTAAAGACTTCTGTTGGCCTAGAAACGTGGCTCGGAAGGTTTGCTCTGAATCTTCCAGGCGGCCTTGCTTGCTGTACATGGAAGCCAGATTGCTAAGAGGTCTTAGAGTTTCTGGACTGTATGGTCCGAGATGTGACCTCGCGATTCGTAATGATGACTGGTAGAGCTGTTCAGCTCTGTCGTACTCGCCTTGACGTTCAAGGGCGAGAGCGAGATTGTACTGCATTCTACCGACATCAATGCTTTGGTCTCCCTTATTTTCCTTGCACCACTCTAAGATGCGCTCGAATAATTCAATAGACGCTTTTGCCTCGCTTGTCTCACCATGAATCAATTGGGATGTGGCAATTTCACTTGCTTTGCGGATCGTGTCCTTGTCATGTTTGCCAGCGTTTTTCTCACGCATTAACAACTCCTTCTTCTCAGCAACTTGACTAACATTGTTTCCTGTCTTTTCTATCGTCTTTGTATGGCTTTCGGTGGATTTGAGACGCTCACTTGCTGCTTTTAGTGCCTCTTTCGTATCCTGAATCAACTTTTGGTTGTCCTTAGAGTCTTCTTCGTATATGGATAGGGCTCGTTTCCAATGGTCAGCAGCTAGCTGACCTTGTTCCATGTGTCCATAAAGTTTGGCCACTTCAGAGTGCAAATTAGCAAGTTTGAGCTTAATATCGGCCGATGTTGGTTGAAACTTGAGTGCCATGAGGGCACAGGGCAGCAGGACCTCGGCTGCTCGGTGCTCGTCGCCGTGAAATTTGTTGCACATAGTAGATATTACGCGCTCTTCGACCATTTCTCGTTCTCCTTTCTCATCGAGGCACTTCTGTACACATTCTCGAATTGTGGACGTTATGATGGTAACCTTTCTGTCAGCTGAAGGCTCGACCATTCCGTAATCCACTAAATGAGGAATTTGCGTGAACAGCTCGACCCTCTCAAAGAATGAGTTAGGAATGCATTGTACGTTCATTGATCCCATGACAAACAGTAAGTCTGCCTCCTCTGGGTACTTGTCTCTCATCAATTCGTACAACAGTCGCCACGCTCGCATGGTTTTTGATGTGTCCTTGGCTTGGGGATCGTTAATCATTCCCATGTACGTTTTGGAATCAACGGAGGTTTTCTTTTGATATAAATGAGCTAGTACGAGCGTACCAGCTGAGCCTCCGAGCTCCTTGGCCCGAATAGCAGCCCTCCGCCTCCTACTTAGATCTGAAGTCTCCTTGCCGAGAAGAAGAAGGGATGCATCAGCTTCTTTTAACTTAGGGACCTCGATGATAGACTGAGAATTCGAAGCCACGATCCGCATTGCTATTTTCTTGGACCGTGTAGTTGCGAGAACTGTCACAAGTCCCGTTTTGGGGATGTAGTCAAGTAGGGATTTTCTTGGGTGGGATGCGCTGGTCGCTTTGAGTGTCGTTTCGTCGTCCCAGCCGTCAAGGACCATGAGCCAGCGTCCATTCCTATCTTGGCTCAAATTTTCATAGACTGCTTTGAGAATATCATCATTCTTCATACTGGCTCGGTTGATATGAAGGGTTTCTGCGATGTGCTTGTATGAAAGTTCAAATTCGGCGGCGCTTCCGGCATTTACCCAATGAACTTGTCCACATGTATCTTGGATGAATTTGTATGCATATTCTACTGCAACATGCGTTTTCCTGAATCATTATAATCAGTCCTCAATACAGATAGCTCATCTTACGGCAAGGCAAGACTTACCCGTTACCGGAATCTCCGTATAAGGCCACATATGGTGCTCCTAAGAGCTTCTGTTCAATGACCTTTAGGATGTCTTTTCTTTTTGCAAAGTTTTCTTCCTTCAAAATCGGCCCAGCTCGGGACGGCATTGTGTGCTTTGGAGATGATGACAATGGAGCATATCGTGTTTTCTCTGGGGAAGCTAAGCCGGGAAATTAGTGACGGATATCTTAAAACATGTGACTATGAAAGTAAGGGGCATATGAGATAGTCTTTCAACGTCGCCAGTCAGAACTAGAGGCATGGATTTCTAATTCCCTGTGTTCTTATACAGAAATCCGGGTTCGGCAGGGTTAACTTACCAGACCGTAGTACCTCGATGAGTTCCATCGCGTTCTTGTTCATCTCCAAGATTTGCCTGCGCACTGATTTGAAGTTGTTGTCGGTTTTGCTCACGAACTTGTTCATGGAGAAATGGTCTAAGGGCAAACCCTCTTTCCCATGCCCTAGTAGTGTGCCAGACGATTCAGTCACAAGGAATTTCTAAAATCGTGGTTAACGATACGCGTTATAAAAGATGCACTCCTAACACTTACGGGCTCGATACCAGAGAGACCAGCAACGCGTCCAATGTGGCTTGCTTTTTGTTCATAGAAACAAAAGATTTTTGGCTTGATCAAATTCGGTGAGCTTTCAAGTAATCTACTGAACTCGGAAACAGCGTTCACGAGAACATCGTTATCCTGAGCTATCGTGTTCATGACGTTACTGCGCGAAACCATCAGTTAATTTGTTACAATCAATGTATTAGATACAAAAATGAAGCAGCTGTACGGCCTGGGGCATATCTAACTATCCAGGGACTAGTACCTGGGGGGGGGGGGGGGGACGGAAAGGAGAAGGAAAAGGAAAAGGCATACTCTTGTCTCTGGACTTTCGATTCAACTATGGCAGAGTATACTTCGCCCATAGTGGCCATTCCAGAGTCGCTGTGGATTCCATGGAAAGGCGTGCCCACTACAACATTTAGTGTCAGCAATTGCCATCTTCGGCTAGATTGTTAAGTCCCCGAGAGTGATCTTGTATCATGATATATCTCCTTCCTGCTAAGAATGAACCATCCTAGGGAGAGAAAGACTCCGAAAATTACTTACAGAACGTCATCCCTGCCACACAGTTTGAAATATCTGGATATGTTCCTTTGTGGATGGTCGCAGTCATGTAGCACTACGGATCATATCAGCAGTCCGACCAAAAACAGCAATACTTGAATAAGTTACCTGTAGGGAGACCAGCCCTCCGAAACAGTGCCCTATAAAGATTATCGGGCGACGCGGGCATTCGGAGCGCTCGTCATGAAAGGCCATCAACAACTTTTCAGCAACACCGCTGAGGGATTGCCTAACAGCATTCTCTCCAAACCAGAAGGATTCATAGTTGTAGACCATGATTCGTGCATTAGGGAGCACATCGGGGAGCATAGTCGAGTCACTAAGCCAGCTGACCCCGCTCTCTCTGTCGACCCAGGTGTACTCAGGGGTAGCACCGATTCCATGGATTGCTAAAACACTGTTGTCTGTTAGCTATCCGTTGTGCGAGACTAGCGTTTCAGTACTTACTCAACCTCAATATCCTCTACATCCGAAGGTTGATGGAGGATATGCAATCCAAGTTGGTCTGCCTTGATCTTTTTGTTCCTACTAAGTTTCTCTCTCACTGCATCACCTCGAGAAACTTGACATATCTCTGGGGTAGCCTTACGAGGCTCTGGCGGTGTTGGTTGTTTTGGATTCATTATTCTACAGTGGGTAGAGGACCCTTGAATACTCTGCTGGGGCTAGGATATATCTGGGGGTAACTAATGAAAAATTAAACTTGGACAAGTTAGATGAAAACTTTGATCAGATTCCAGAGGCTCTCAGGCACGACTATCATCATATAAACTGCTTCCCCTGCTCTTTCAAGGGGTAGTCATTCGAGGCTATGAGATGTCTTGGCAACAGGTACATACTCCAGAAGTACCGCTTCGTATACAAATTGAAAATGAGGCTCAAAAAGGGGCTATTTTTGGTGTTCACGACAGACAAATCGAGAATCGGCATCACAGTCACCCCTGTGAAGGTGGGCTTAACCCTCCCACACCTCCGGAATAGAAGTAGCAGCCCGCATGAGACGAAACCATAGTGGCTTTAGACTGACCGATGTATAAAAGCTCTGAGTTTCTCCGGCCAGCTTCAAACCCCCAAGTTACTAGATACCTACACGTAGGTAAAATGTGACCTTGCGAGCCGCGAGCCTCGCGAGTGATGTTGCCGTCGATCGGGACGCTTGCCTGGCTATCTGAGACATAGTTGTGATGGGCACCTAAACTAGGACCGCATGATCGGGTTTTGCTTTCCTAATCTGGAAATGCTTCAAGCCATCGTGGTATTGGCAACCCCACTCTAGGAAAGCCACCCCTTTATGTGTCATGCTGAAGTAGGCAGGGTCATATGTAGGCAGAGGATTGCGCAACGTGAAAGTGCTAAAGTATGGACAGACTGACATGCAGAAAGCAGGCTCAACAGGGCGTTACGAGATATCGTAATTTATCAGCTTCACATAGCTCGAATTATGCATTTTAAGTGTCGCACGGCAGCATCAATAGTGTTCAGCTCATACTACCTCGCAACCAATCGCCTACGATGTATGAATCTGCCTGCCCGAAAGGCACATGCCCCACGTTCTATTATATGACAGTTAAATTTGATCACTCTGGGGCGCAGAGTTCTAAAATAGGACGGCTTGCCTCAACGAGAGAGAATCATCTCGGTATACTGATGCGTTGATTATTGTTGTACATATCTATTGAAATGGATGGTGCGACCTTGGCGTCTACCGTCACCGGGGCGCTTAGTTTGGCAATTCAATTAGTTCATCTTACGCAAAGGCACACCTCGAGGATGACTAATCTGCCGCGTAGTGTCGCCTCCTACCTCGTCGACTTAACGGTTCTAAAGCAGCTCCTTTCGGACATCCAAAATAGCTTGGCGTTACCACCCACAACATCAGGGATGGGGACAACCACGTGCTTGGAATTGATGAATGAGCTCAGAATTATTGAAGGAGACTTAGGAAACCTTCGAGACAAGCTTCAAAATGCCCAAAGTCATCAGACCCTCTTTGTGGCCAGGAACGTTCTCTGGCCATTCCCGGAAGATGAGACAGCAAGATGGGCTAGCAATCTTCGTGTGTGTAGAGACCGTCTTGAATCGAAAATTACGATCAGTAGCCTGTGAGGATTGAATATTCCATGTTGAATTGCATGATCTAACCCGGGTGTCCAGAAAAGCCCAGCTCCAAGCTCTAGCAGGAATCGAGGAGCTTAGGAATAAGACTGAGACTACCGAACAACGTAAGACGCCTCCTAAAATTGAGTTTAAGGGGGAGGATTTCCTGACGATCGTATAGGACGAGAGAAGTGCTTGATTTTAGACTGGATATGCGATGAATCCTGGAAGCGGAAGCATGCCGAGCTCATCTCCTCGCATCATCCGAACACAGGCCAGTGGATATTTGTGACCCATGAATTCCAAGGTTGGGTCATTAAGCAGTCTGGAACGTTGTGGTGTCATGGTGCCCGTATGTACCGCAAGATAATTGCCAACGAGGAATTTGGCTAACTTAGGACTGCTTCGGCCCTAAAAGCCGGTACTGGGAAGACACAGCTCATGTATTACCAGTCCCTAACCCAAGGCCAAGCTGCGCTGACTGGCTCTAGGTCCTTGGTTGTAGAATACCTCTCAAAGTTCAAGAAAGTAGCTTACTTCTATTGTGACTATCACACATCCGGCAACAAGAATATCACAACTGGAATCGCGGCGGCCATCCTGCGTCAGATAGTTAATGCTAAGACAGATATTCCAACGGCGGTAAAGGACATGTATCAAACGCTAGGGAACGGACGTAGTAAGCTGAAACTGGATGATATCACAACTTTAATCCACCATATTTCCCGCTCTGAGCCTGGTTTGTTCATCGTTGTTGATGCCATAGACGAATGTGGCTCCTACAGAAAGCCCGTTCTTCAGCTTCTAAACAAGATTTCGAAAGGCTCGGCCAATCTGTTGATATCGGGTCGAAGTCATGTTACCGAGCTTGACCGTGTCTTCGACTCCTATTCTCAACTTGAGATCAAGACTCCCGCCTCCGACATCAAGTGTTTCACGGAAGGGATGATCGCATCTAGCGAACTCTCGGAGCTTATACCAGACCACTCAAAAGATGATATTGTACAACATATATCAGATCAAGCATCTGGCATATTTCTTATAGCGGAATTAAAGTGTCTACATCTCACTCATCTTTCTCGTTTCTCGGAGATAAGAAACGCAGTTCGAGCTCACTCAAACGGACTCGATGATCTTTATAAGGAGTCTATGGAGAGGATCATGCTCCAACCTTACGAAAAGAGAAAGACGGCTACGAGAGCTCTCTCTTGGATCTATCATGCTAAGCGTCAATTATCTATCGAAGAGCTGGTGCACGCTCTTGCAATAGACTGCAGTGAATCGATCCCGACGTATGAGGATGTGGTATCAGAAAAGACGGTCCTTAATGTCTGTGCCGGTCTAGTTATGGTAAATGCCAAAGATACAACTATTCAATTTGTCCATCACACACTACAGGAATATTTCGAGGCTTCGTATCAAACATGGTTCCACAACGAGCAGCGATACATCACCAAGGCTTGCCTTATCTACTTACGCTTGACATCTCCAGAACGAAGCGTCACCGATTCACTCTCTTCCTATCCATTTTTGAAGTATGCGGCGAAATACTGGGGAGCCCATGCGAGAGACGAATACCATGAAGAGCTAGATGATATTGCTTTGGCCATCTTTCGTAATAACTTCACACTAGAACAGATCTCTATTCTGATGGACAATGATCAGACGTCAAAAAAGAATATGCCCATGTTTCCCTGTCAAAACCTCGCTGTCCAACTGTCGGCACGATCCGGGGCATTGCAAGTCTTGAAAGTGCTCTTTCGGCACCAGCTTAGTTTCGAAGGTGCCGATCCCAGTGGTAGAACAGCTCTCCACTGGGCAGCTAGGGGAAACTTCGTGGATGTAGTTCAAACTCTTCTACATGAAGGCGCCGAAGCCAGTCCTAAAATGAAGAACGGGATGACTCCTTTCCACTGGGCCGCTAAGCACGGCCATGAGAGAGTCATTGACGAGCTGATGCCTCGTATCAACCCAGCCGAGGCGACACTAGATGGCCGGACGGCCCTTCACTGGGCATCAAGTCAAGGTCATATCTCCATTGTGAAGAAATTGGTCGCTGATAACCGAGTTGATGTGGGGTGCCAGTCCGCAGATGGCTGGACTCCTTTACACTGGGCCGCTGTAAGTAGTATCAAGGAACACTTTCACTCCATCTTGGGTAAAACGATCTTGCCCAAACCCTTGAAGGTCATGCTGAAGGAAAATTACTAACTTCTCTTTCAAGTGCAGTGGTAAGAGAGCTGTTGTCATGTACGGGATTAAAAGCGACCAAGATACGGGTAACCCGCCCACCGTCTCTCGCGAAGTCTTCTCACTAAGTGGTGGCGAATCAAGTGGTCATGAGGAGGTGACAAAGTTTCTTCTAGAGTCGGGGGCCGACCCAAATGTGAGGAATAAAGAAAATCAGACCGCTCTACATTGGGCTGCCGTATCTGGGAATCCAAGGATCGTGAGCCTAATACTCTCCAAGGGCGCCGAATCGAGCATTCAAGACATTCGTGGCCTTACACCATGGCAGTTTGCTGTAGAGAACAGAGCGGATGAGACGGCCATCAAGCTGCTCGCCCCTCCGAGTCAATAGAAACAGGCACGAAAAGTCATCGATTCCCAAGATGCATCTGCAATGTTGATTCGTGAAAATAGATAGGTAGCTATTGATATCAAAGTTTTTCTATTAGATACCTAATATACATTGAATTTATGAGCAATTCCTATTGAATATTTTGTAACACTATAATCGTAAAACACTAGAACGCATTCTTCATTCGCATAATCTTCCACTAATCACTTTCATTGTGATAGTCCCAGTGGTCGTGTTCATCATCGCTAGGTTCGTTGTTATCATCGTCATCGCTTTCTTCCTTTTCGCTGTCACTGCTGTCATCCTTGTCGCTTTCGCTATTATCATCCTCGTTGCCTTCGCTACTGTCGCCGTTTTCTTCCTCTTCGCTGTGATTGCTGCCGTCCTCGTCACTTCCGCTACTTTTCTCATTGCTATTATCGTCGGTTTCGTGATCGTCGTCGCTACGATCAGATGTATCATCAGAGTTTGAATCGTGGTCCGTATCGTCTTCGTTTACCTCGTCCTCTGGATCTTCACCGGAATCGTACTCATTGCCACTCTCCACTTCGTTATCATCCCCCTCAGTAGGAAGTTCCTCGTCCTCTAATTCTTCACCAGAGTCGTACTCACTACCACTCTGCAAGCTGTTATCATCCTCATCAGTCAGCAACTCCTCAAACTCTGAGTTCTCACTCCCGTCATATTCACTACCACTCTGTAGTCCGTTGCCATCCTCATCAGTTGGCAACTCGTCGTCCTCTGACCCTTCATCTGAGTCGTATTCTTTACTACTCCCCGATTCGCTTTCATTACCAATCTCCGATTCGCTTTCATTCCCATCAGTCGACGACCCCTCATTTTCAAAGTCGGATTCCTGGCCACTGGCGTCAGTGTCATCAATCGGGTCACTGACACTCCCCACATCATCATCGCCCCCTCCGCCGCTGGGGGCGAGCTCGACATTTGTGAATTGTGAAGGACCCGCTTGTTGCGACTCTGCCTCATGTAATGCGTTTATTGAGAACTTGGGCGGCTTGGATTCTGTAGCCTCACGATGCTTGGACTCTATAGATTCAGAAGGCTTAAACTTTATAGACTCTGGGGGCTTGGGCTCTGTAGCCCCTGGTATATTGGACTCTGTAGATCCAGGTAAACTGGGCTCTGAAGACCCAGGTGGACCGGGTTCTGTAGACCCAGGTACATCAGACTTTGTAGGTTTTGTAGACCCAGGTGGGTTGGGCCCTGTACTTTCTATAAACTCGGGTGAATTGGATGTTGTAGGGTGATGATTCGGGGGGCTGGATGTTGCAGTGTTAGGTTTGGGAGGTTTACTTCCAGTCGCAAGAATGTGCTTTCTCCAGCTATGAGAAGATTCAGAATGTGGCGGCTTTATTTTTGGTGGCTTTACTTTTGGCGGCTTCACTTCCGACGACTTCACTTTCGGCGGTTTGACTCTCGGCAGTTTGACTTTCGGCGGGGTTATGGCGGTAGCCTGGGGCTTAAGTCCAGAGCGCATGTCAACCTGAGGTTTATTCTTGGTGGGTTTGCCTACACCACGCCCACATTCAGTAAGTTTCGGCAGCCAAGATGCATCTTCTTCATGTTGTTCGCCCGATGATGTGGGTTCCTTCGTGGACTTTTTGTGGATTGACTCATTTTTGGTAGATGGCTTCTCAACGAAAGGCTTGTTTGGCTTTGAAGGTGACTTCTTGACGAAAGGCTTTGCTGGCTTTGAAGTTGACTTCTCAGTGGAAGGTTTGGTTGGTTTTGAAGAACCGTCGGCAATAGGTTGTTTGCAAGATTTACTATCCAGAGGTATGCCCCGCTTGTTTTCAATTTCCCTGGTATTTGTAGTCAAAGAATGTCGGGCTAGTGCTTCGTGTATCATCTTTTCTACGAGGTCTGGTACCTGAGCTGGTTTCTTCGACTCTCCTGCCTCGGCCTCGTCCGCTCGGAGAAAAGCCATGATACCGGGAGTTCCAGTAGATGAGCCGGGGCCTGAGAACGATATTTTGTCCGTGGTGGACTTCTTCTTGCCCATCAGCTTCTCTAGTGAGAAGTTGGATTCCGGATCCTTGATAGGGGTAATGATCTGCGCCTGACGCTCATAATGTGATAGGTTTGGAGGAATGATTGGACTATCAAATGGGATCGGGTCATGGTTATTCCAGTTCTTAGTAAAGGTGAATCGAACTGTCTTATTTGGCGTTGCGTTTCCGACGACTTGTTCCGCTGATTTGGGTTTTATAGGTTCCTTGTCTCTTTTGACCGCTGTGGAAGACTTCTTGGTAGTTTTCTTAATTGATTTTATTGACGTGGCATCATTACCCTCTCTTGGGGAGGTAGACAAAGCGGGGGAGATGTTTTCTTCGCGTTGATGTATGTTGAGGAACTTGGACACGGCATCTGGCTCATCCAAGGCTACGACACTGGGTTTGGCAATGTTACCATTTGATTCTGTTGTTCTTGGTAGGGTTGACTGCCTGTCTTCGGCCGCCTTGTTCTTTCCCTTTGCCTTAGGGGATGCAACGGCGGGATTTCCCAGTTCCTCTTCGAACGAGGCTGTTTCTTTGCCTAAGGGTTTTCGCTTTCGACCTTGGGCCTTAGGTTGAGCTTCTGGATGATAGGCTGTGCCAGCCCGCTCCGCAATGATACTGTCGGTCTTCGCTCTTCTCTCCACAATTAGGCTCCATCCTTTGATAAGATGAAGCTGATCGATGTAGAATGGCTTCCGCTCCTTCTGTAACCATTCCCAAGCCTCCTTGGCGCCAGGGACCTTTGGTATAGGAAGGTCCCCACGTGACAAGTTCAGATGAGGGGGGATAACTTCCAATGACGAGGAGACATGTGGAAACCTTTCGATTCCGGCCTGAGTCAATGGCGGATAGTAGAGGGATGAAGGGGCCATATCCAGCCATCGTGGCTGTGGAGCTCGCGAGTCGGTGGCGCTTGTGCCATTGATGATGCTATATGCCGACCAAAAGTGGAAGCCATCTGGAACCACAGCGTCTAGACACGCGTTGCAAAGCCTTCCCGTGTCCAGGAAGCTGATTCGGGGCTCTTTCGCAGTAACATGGAAGAACCCAAGACGGCTTGGGTATTTTGAATGCTCTTTAGTATGATCAGCATGATACTTTACTGGGTGCGAGCAGCCGAGAGCACGAGTTGTCAGGTAAGTCGCAGTAAATTCTGCTGAACCTTCAGGATATGGAGATATGGATTCGTTCGCCATATTGCCTCTAATGCAGCAAGCTTTTGAGGGATTATGACAGTATTTTCGACTTATAAGTACGTAAGACGAATAATGCTCGGAGGGAGAGATGATCGATTATCACAAAAGCTCGCTTCTCAACTTTACCATGGCAACAACTTATAACTACCTACCGGTACCTAGGTATCTACTTACGCTATATAACATCAGTGTAATTGCTCAGTTTTCAACCTCCTTTTCCCCAGCCTGCAGGCTGCAACGTATAGTGGTCATAGCGGTTCAATTCTCTACTTAACTAACTACCTATATTTGGCCTGTCGGCTGGGGCGTAGAACGCTTTTTGTTCAGCCTGCTGATTGTCACATACATGAACTGTGACAGTGGCTCTATTTTCTAATTAGCTGACTATATTTAGCTTGAGGGATATGGTGTAGGCAATAAACTACGCAGCAGACCCCAAAAGCCTTAGTTTAGCAAATCGGTATGGTACTTAACAATCAAGTACCCCTACCACAGTATGCACATGCGGTATATATCTCATTTTGGAGACATGAAGCATGTTTCGCCACACTCATGCATGCAAGCGATTTCAGTCAAGACCGGCCGTTCTGGACACGATGTCTATACTGCAATGTAACCATCAGCCGCAGGCTGGGCCGCAGGAAAGCGTCATTGATCCAGGTGAGGCTCCGTATTCATATCAGGTACCGCATCATAATGGATGTCAGCTACTACGTAGGTAGATATATAGGTATTTGTCTTTTTCTCGAGCTAGTCGGTCATATAAAACTTACTCTTGCACGCTGAGCCCCGTTTAGACATGACCAAATACATGCATCAACGGCAACAATGGATAGCCCGTCGAATTACTTTCAAGCCCAAGGGCTACACTCTCGATCCACTTACTCATCCGTCTCTTCACAATCTACCCATGCAAGCCTTCTGTCCAGTCCTACATTTAGCAGTACTTCAAGTGCCCCCTCGTCATATACCAACTTTACCGATAACAGCCGCTCCTGCCAAAGTTTTTACATGATGACTGTCAGTGACGAGGAGCACAGTCGTGCTAAGAGACTCGTAAAGGAGCAGTCATCTAGTAATCAACAGAAGGCAGCTACCGCCGTTCTGTCTAGTGTCGCTGATGGGACGGTGGTGCCTTCAACGGTAATGCTGGTCCAGGCCCTACTAGACCTCGGCGCTGAAGTCTGTTTTCAAAGACGCAAGAGCACCAACGTCTTGAAGATTGCGTTGAACAAAGACCAGACCGACATACGCAGCGATCTATTGGACAGAGCAATTCACAATTGCTCCCATGAGATCATATTGCTTCTTGCTCAAAACGCCGATGAACAGGCTGTGAATCAAGCATTTCCCATTGCCATCGACCAAAATGACCCAGAAAAGATTAGGATCTTACTTGCCAGAGGTGCTAACGCATCTTTATGGTGTAGTAAGTTCCTAGACGCTGTTGAGGTTGGCTCCGACGAAGTTGTTAACGAATTGACGAGAACACACAACGGTGCCTGCCAGGACTGTCGCGATAGGGGTTTGATTCGTGCAGCAATGTTTGGACACACAAACAAAGCTCAGATTCTCTTGGATAGAGGCGCAAATCCAAACTTTGAGAGAGCGAAAGCACTCGGGGTTACTATCCACAGCGGCAGAGAAGATATCGGCGCACTTATTGTATCCCAAATGTCGATAAGGGTCCAGCCAGATTTACTAGACATGGCTATTGGGGATGCATATAGCAAGTCAAAATATCAGATTTTGGTAGCATGTTTGAAGGCCAGAGAAGGGGGCCCCACCGAAACAGTAAATCGGATACTGCTCCAAGCCGTCGAACGCAATCAGTTCGACTTAGTTACTCCTCTTCTCCAGAGCAACGCTTCTGTAGAATATCAGGGAGGAGCTGTTGTGATTGCTGCCGTACTCAGCCGACATCACAAGTTACTACAGGCAGTGCTCTCGAGCGGCAAAGCATCACAATCATCCATGGCCGCAGCGATTTCTCGGGCTACCGAGTTAGGCGATTCTCAGATCACCTGTCGCATGGTGCATGCCTTGGTCTCTGCTGGCCTTCGCGGCGATGCCGTCAACAAGACATTGTTAAGAATCCTTGATCCAACGTTTGCAGCAGGTAATGATGACTCTCGTCTTGCTCTGGCACGCTTCCTCATAGATAAGGGCGGTGCAGAGGTCAATACCCAACAGGGTAGGGCTTTCATACTCGCCGCAACCGAGGGGTGGGCGAACATTCTGGGCCTCCTCATTCGCTATCAGCCATCTTTCGCGTCACTTAGAGCGGCCATGCCGCCTATAATGCGACTCAAAGACCGCGAGATAAGAAGTAAGATGATCAATATGGTTATAGATTTTGGCAATAGTGACCTGCTCACCTCTGAGAATCTGAAAGTTGCGGCAGTATCATCAGCTGCAGAAGCCTTGCGTCTCGATGTTTTACAACATTTAGCCCTACGCGGTCTGTCGGATTCGGCTATTCTTGCTGGGTTTTCCGCAGCAATTTCATCTGGAAGTGAATGGACTACACCTTCTGGTCTCTCTGTTATCCATTTCCTCCTAGACTTAGGTGCTTCGGGCCCTCCTGTTGATGAAGCTTTTTGTCATGCAACGAAGTTACTTGCGCATGATGCTATTATGCTACTAAGAGATTTTATCAGCGAAGGGTGCGTGAACCAAGCTCTCCTAGGCATGATAGAGAGTTCTCAGGAATGGCATTCTCCCGACGACAGCAATCTCTGGCTTATGCAGTATCTGCTCGAGTGGGAAGCCCAAGGGGAACCAGTAAATATTGCTCTTCTCAAAGCTCTGGATGCATACACCTCCTCACCGAAGTTAGCATCTAAAGATCTTGTCGATACGCTCCTTACGATAGCTGATGTTAATTTCCGGGACGGCGAGGCGCTCAAAATAGCTATCAAAGGTGGCGACGCGTCACTCCTGCAGGAACTGGCCTTTCTAGATGCTAATAAAGAGACGATGACGCATGCGTTTTGCGAGGCCATCACAGCACAACTAGAAGAGGAAAAAGTGCTAGAACTACTCCAAGTTCTCAGCGACCGGGAGCCTGGATGTCAACCTGATTTCGAGAGACTCTTACCTCATCGATTTCCGCCACTTTTCGACTGCCTTATTACGCACCCGGAATCAGTAAAGCTACTCAAACGTTTGATCAAACTAGGCTGCAAGGTAGATGCGACGGCCCTCATCAAGCTTTACGATACAACGGAGCCTGAATATGCTACCACACTTGCATGGGCCTTATCCCAGACCGGAAGAGGCCGAATAGTGTCTTCGGCTGTCATAACGAAGCTAATAGAGGCGAAGGGTGAGTATAGCATCCATGCCATCATCAACGTGGACTTTCTGGGGCAAATCACTGACTATAGAGTAGCAAACGTCAATTTTACAGCGTCGTCTTCCCAAACAACACCCCTGATACTCGCTGCGAAGAACTCTCGTGGAGACATTGTGAAGAAACTACTCGAAGCGAAAGCTGATTCCCGAAGCCACGACCGTTTCGACAAAGCGGCCCTTTTCTATGCCTCCCAAGTCGGAAATATCGATGCTGTGAAGGCTCTGTTGAAGACCGAATTCCGTCTGAACGACGGCAGTCTCCACGAAGCAGCAAGGAATCTACACAGAGATTGCGTCGCCGCTCTAATCAAGGCCAAATACGATCCAAACTTCCGCAGTAGTAGGGTGGAGTACAATGGGCGTAATGCTCTCCAGGAGATGGTAGTTAGTAATATGAAAATTCTTCTTGTAAATGTTAGACTAACTTTATAATCGTAGTACCGGTGTGATGGCTTGCAAAAGGTGCCAGATATGGAAGCAACCATTTTGGCCCTTGAGAAGGGGGGAGCTAACCCCCTTGAAAAGTGGCGGGGGAAAACAGCGCTATTCCTTGCCTTAAGCAACCCGCGGCCATATCATATTACTCAGGCCTTCTTAAACATAGGAAAGTGGTGCGAGAGCAACAACCCCAAGAACGTTATTGAAGAACTTCACCCTGGAACAGGAGAGAAGTTCTATCTTTCACCTACCGTTTGGCTTAGACGAACTGCATATGAGATTAATGCGGGTATCAACGCTCAATTGGAGAGACTCTTAAAGACCATGGGATGTGAAGACCGGTACTTCGCTCCGCTTGGTTCAGAACAGCCAGATGGTGCCGTAGGCTTACCTGACGACATTGCCAAAGAGGTTAAGCGTCGCAAAGACGAGCTAGACAAATATTACAAATCCGAATTCGAGCACCAAACAAAGATACGTCGTCACTACGAAGAAGAGGAAGCGCAACACGAGCTATGGAAAGAAATGCAGTCTGAGAAGACGACCCAGAAGGTCATCCAGTCTGCTACGATTCATCAGAACCAACTGTATCAGAACATGCAGACAGGCAAACTGCAGCAGGATACCCTGGCGCAGAAAAACGCTCTGACCGAGCTGACTCTCCAAAATCAACAACAGCTGAAACTCAACTTCCAGCAGCTGACGACCAAGCAACAGCAGGAGGCGCTGATGCAGAAAAATGCTATACTTCAAACCCAACAACAACTCAAACTCGACTTCCAGCAGCGGACGGGGCAGCAAAAGGTACAGCTTCAAGGACAACAGAACATGCTGACGCGCAAAGCCCAACAACAGCAAGTCTCGAGTGCCCAGAGGATGAAGGCGATCAAAGCGAGCGAGGAGCAAGCAAAGCTCAAAGCCAAGAAAGCAATGCACAGGGAAGACCTCATATACCAAGCTGCAAAGCAAATGGTGTGAGGCAAGCTTTCAAGTACCGAAGTTAGTTCCTCATATCATCAAAGGAAACGTCGAGAGGAGTTGGCAAGAAGGAGGCCATGTGGGTGATCCGCTTTAGACATGGCAGTTCGGATAGCCCGACCAGCCTAGCTTTAATATCAAATTATGAAAGGTAGATGCAGCGAAGCTGTAGTGGAGGCTTTATTAGGGATGCCGGTTCAGAGCATACGCTTTTCTATATACTCTTTGATATAGTTGCTCTCTTTGTAAGAATTTCCTATTAACGACAGTACTCCTCAAAATCTAGGAAATGACGGTTGGGACATAGAAACGGTCAGCTAAAGGTTATGTTATCAGTGTGCAGTGTAAGAGCCATCATTACCTGTCATCGGGGCGATCTCTTAGCAACGCAACTTGAGGACGAATGGACCCAGGGTATTCAGGAAATGGGAAGGAGGGTGGTCTGGACGAAGCAGAAGCGGCATCGTCCGGAGCGGGACGAAGTGGGGCGTTCCGGGACGCCGATGCCAAAACGGAGCACTGCCCGGCTACTGCGAGAGAGTTGAATGCAACTAGCTAGTCAGAACGGCCTAGGATATCCCCTAGCTGGTTTGCAAATCCAACTACCTGAGGTACCTAAGTAGGAAGAGCCGCTCTGGAAACTACCTCATGAAGAAAGAGTGCCCGATCGTGAAAAGTGAGCTGCACTGCAACCAAATTTTATATTCTTGTATTAATAAGTGGGTAGCTTGATTATTATTATTCTGCAGTCTTGTATTTATACAGTGCCGGCTTCTAGGCATGCCATATCTCGGGTCTCTCCTAATTAAGTCCAAGCCCTTGCCCGAAATTTGGAGAATACCTCGACCTTGGAACACTACGCAGCCTCCTCTTGGAAGACGTCTCATTAAAGCCCGTATACTCGCCCACGCTCGGTGGTAGGTCCTCGACGGCAGTACCCCATGAACTTTCATTTCTACCTAGAGTAAGAACAAGCTCCTTGCCTTCAGTGAAAAAGCTGTGATCGACCCAGTTCTTCGTGTACGGCTCACCGTTCAGCGTTGCACTCTGAATATAGATGGCACTGTATGTGGGATCGAAGTTGACATTGCGAATGGAAGCAGTTTTACCGGTCAGCGGGTTCGTGATGTTTACGCCCTCGAAGAACGGGGGGATAATCAGATAGACGTCCTGGCCAGGGTTGGGGAATAGACCCATCATTGAGAACGCGACGAATGATCCCATCGCACCGCTATCGTCGTTTCCAGGAAGGCCGTCGGGGGTCGTGGCGAAGTATCGGGGAATGTAGAAGTGTGCGCGCTTTGCCGAGAGAGCCGGTCGGCCGGCATAATGATATTGGAATACCGTGAGGAACGCGGGTTCATTTCCAATATAGGTGATATTGTTATCATGTAAGAAGTCGAGTCGACTAACGAATTGGTCAGGGCCACCGTAGAGGGTGATCAAGTCTCCCTGGTTGTGTGGTACGAAAAATCCGTATTCCCAAATACTCGATTCGAACGTTTCATGGGCCGTGTTTTGCTATTTACCATGTTAATGATTCCCACATCGTGGGAAAGCTAGATGTCGTATATACTTACAAGACTACAGGCGGTGCCAGAAGTATCAATGTTGCTGCACAACAGAGGATCTTGGGAGCCCCAGGTCTCATTTAGGTACTTGGGCTGGAAGAACCCAACGTAGCCAGTATTCTGGCCACTGGCGAAATATGACGTCTGATCCGACTTGTACAAACTCCTCCAGTTTTCGCTTGACTGGAGGTATTTCGCAGTGTCGGCACTGTTACCCCGTGCTTGACTGAACAGACTTATCACATAATCGTTATAGCTGTATTCGAGAGTACGTGAGATGCTTCGAGTCATAGTTCCGAAGCCGACGTAGTCGAAGTCCTGGACGGGAATGTAGCCTAGAGCTTTCCAGCTGTCCAAACCACCACGTCCTTCACTTGACCAGTCGAAGGGTTCTTCTTCAGCGTCTTTCACGACAGCTTCATAACCCACATCCCAATCAATACCGTCTGTGATACCTTTCAGAAATCCATCTGCTAGAACTATGTCTGCATTCGAGCCTCCCTAAGGGTTGTCAATTTTATCAAGTATCATAAGCTTAGAGTCCTTACCTGCGTGTAACCTTTGCTAAAGGTCATGCGGCAGTCGGGAAGCCATCCTTCGTATTTGTACGTGTCTATTAGGGAACGTATCATTTCTGCTACAGCATCCGGGTCGGTTAGGATTAAAAATGGGATCTGACTTCGAAAGCTGTCCCAGAGACTTTCCCGGCCGTTAGTGGATCCATCTTCTTCCAGGAACATATTCACTCACCAGTAGAATGAATCGAAGTACGGCTCGCCATTGTCGAAAAACGGATTCTCTCCAGTGTAGTTCTGGGGGTTCACCATTGTTCTGTAATTATGCGTCAGTGTCGTTCTCGTTGTAAGCCCAAATGCCAAGCATAAACCTCTAGGTTGACAAGGATCACAGACCTGTAAATGCCCGAATAGAAGTTCGTAACGTAATCATCATCTACTCCGCCTTGAGTAATAGTAATGGGACTGAGCTTCTCCTTCCAGGCATCAGAAGCAGCCTGTTCAATCCCATCGAAGTCATAATCCGGAATTTCGGATTCGGCGTTAGAACATGCTTGCTCAGAACTTATGAAGCTCAAGCCGACCCTAGCAAGCACCGGATCTGCGGTTTCAAATCGAATGAAGGCTCCTCCGGGAAGAGGGTATCCATTGATTGACCGTGAAATGGTCAAGTTCTTGACATCCGCACTAGCCCTACTATTTACGAAGATGCCAGTATCATGGATTTGAGGGCCCGAAAAATCGGTGCAGAAATAAAGTACACTATAACATCTGGAGTTAGTAGTTACTCCTTATCATTAATGAAAAGAATTCAAGTCTGGCATGGAGTAGAGAGGTCCCGCTTTAAACGAAAGTCTGGGATACATATAAACAGGAGATGGCTCTGGATGAGGCTCACTATTGTCCTTGAGAAAAACTGGATTGGAAACGGCCACTGCCTGTGATCCTCCCAGTTTCAGCATCAATAGCAACGGTGGCGTTATCTTGACGCGAGTCCGAGAGATCCGTTAGGTCCTGTAAGATGAGAGGGTAGGAGCCATTAGCACCCGTTCCCGTGAAGTTGAACCGGAACAATGCGGCGTGTAAAGTGGTCGTCATCGCAACATTGACGCCGGAGTTCAGGGTGACCTCGAAATATCCCGGGCGCGCCACAACACTGCTATCGGTGAATGACCCATGATCGGCAGCTCGAGTTATCTTGGGAAACTCGCATCGATCAATATCATCATTCGGGCAACTCGGGTACGGGAAGAGCGGGAAATTCCCGAGAGAAGGCGATCCTCCCGTTCCCGAGTCGTGCATCGCGCTGAAGCCGGAAATAGGACTTCCGTCAAGGGTGAAGCCGCCTTGGTTGCTTCCGCTGGTGGTGTCGGCAACGGCTTTCGCCATGCCGTAAGGAAGCGAGGCACCCGGAAATACGTTTCCTCCATTGCTGCTTCCGATCAGTTGATCGACGTAAGTGAGGGGATCAAAGTCGGCAGCGACAACATTTCCAAGAGTGATCGCGGCGATAGCCAGAGCAACAGGGCCCGGGCGCAAGATAAATGAATGCATTGCGACCAGATCAACTCCCCGATTGGAGGGAGACGGAGAGAAGTAGGGTAAACGAATGTGAATTATATGCCCCGTATCATAGGCTCTATGGGTGGTTAATCAATACATACATTCCTCGACGGCGTCGCTGGAGAAACAAGAGACAAGAATTTCGACCAGTGAGATAAGTTAAATTACGACGGATTGTCTCCGAATAGCAAGAGCAAGAGACAATGTCTTAGTCTTGCCGGGTGGTCGTGACCAACTCGCGTGCTCGATATAAAAGAGGAACCTTCCATTCCTGGCGATGCGGTGTGCTATGGGCATCCGACCATCCTCGCCATGCTCGCTATCCCACCACTTGCATCATGCAGGTAGAGTTAGCTGCAGCGGGACCTCGCCGGTGACCATAGCAGGTGTCCCCTACCAGAGCCATATCGGCCTCCCACCGTTACATCGAGTAATTTCTTTGGGATTGCGCAGCGCGTATTTTCATCTTCATCTCGGAAACGCGGGGTATCCAATCCTGCGATCATTGACAGAAGCAAGGTACGCCGCTAGATAAACAAGCATGGGAGCTAGAAACGCGACGTAGCTATCCATGCTGCTCGTGCTCTACCTAGGATATATGTCAGGGGTTCGCGGCGCGATAAAATCCACCAACAAGTTGATAAACAAGTAGGTAAGGAGCCGGGCCGATCATAACCAGAGATTGAATGGTGTAGGTAGGGGTTATTATATGCAAACATCGCGCATCATCCATAGGTCGGCTTCTGTAAATCTTTCATATTCGTTCCTACAATTGCTGGCGCTATGTAGAAAGAGGAAGGTTGGCTACTGCGCAACCATAGGTGCTAAGTAGGTAGGTATCTATCCCATGCGTAGTACTACGTAGTAGCAAGATATTAACAGTTAAACTCATCTACACCATGCGGTTAACCCCTTTCTTGTGCCGGCTGCTTCGTTACATCTTTTCGAGCCCCGGCTAGTGGCCCTCTTGATAGCGCGGGGGAATCGCGACGTTTAAATTAGCGACATCCGTTCGTTCAGGGGTTAATATTGGTCGCACCTATGGCGATCTAGGCTGCTAGGCGAATGAGTGGATGCTATTGATAGCCAATCCCCCCACTGAAATGTTCCGTCTAGCAGCCCTAGAGCTGTTATATGCCGTCTTGGCTTTCCGTCGCTTCACCAATCGGCAAGTTTCAGGGCCCCAGAAGCCTGCCAATGAGTTCACCACTTTCGTATTAGAATTGCCCAAGTTGGTTGTATGAAAATTTCAATATCATTCCGACGTTCAAACCTAGAATATATTTTATAAATGAGGGCTATACATAGGTAAGATCTAGCCCGGATGCCCAGAAGATCTACCAGATAGGAGAATTGTTCGCCTTCTGACGATCATACGAACCCAATCGCCTTTTTAAAATCTCGTGATTAGTCGTAGTGTTTTACAGCAGCGTAGGCGGACCCCATGCCTAACCTGCTAGGTAACCTTGCGTTAAATACGAACGCAATTTTCTTCTCCTTTATTACCATTCTACTGTAGAAATGATTAACATTGAAGCTCTCGCAGTTCAATATTAAACAGGAGATATATCTAGATTCCGATAATAAAGTCATCGAATAACTTCAATCCTAGGTACCTAGGCAGGCACCTATTGATTTGATTGTTGACTTGACGGGAAATCCGGTCGGTTCCAGTCAAATGTATCGAGGAGGTCAAAATTGAAGTCAACCTGCGTTGAGAAGTCCCACTCGAACACCGGAGGTTCATATACGCTTGATGCAGCATTTAGTGTCTGGTCAAGAACGCGCTGTATGACCGACTTCGCGTCGCTGCAAAGGTCTCCGTTCGGTCCTGATCCGGACGGGCTAACCCACTCTAAAAACGCGACAAGGAGCGTGAGTTTCTGAATAATGTTGGCACGAGTTATTCTCGGGTCAATATGAGGTCGAATATGGAGTGTAGGTTTCAGTAACTCCAAGCAGAGAATTCCGCCTGCAGGGACAGCATAGGCCATGACCTAAACAATTTTATCAGCGACTGAATCCTACCCTTACGTACCAAGGTTTACCCGTTGACTTACTAGCCATTCACAATCATTCCTGAAGGCCGCCATCTTGTCAAGCTCCAAGTAGTCTATCATATGTGAGCATATCATAAACGGCCAGTTATAAAGCTCGAAATATTAGCAACGTACTAAAAAGAGTCAGCGTTCGTACCTAGGAAACAAGCCAACGAGCGATATAGGACTTCATAGAAATAAGGACATAGCAATGACATGGGAAAATATAATACATACCAAGGTAGAGTGAGAATGACCAGGTCATAGCTAACTCTTAATAAGTCGCCTTTGTCCTCGTGACCGTTTCGAAGCAAGAGCCTCTCGATGAAGAACATGTTCTGCAGATGTTCGAGATGGATGAATGACCTTGAAGCCAATGTGTCGATAGAAATCTCCGGGTCCTCGAGATCAAGAGGGTTAAAGTGTATGCAAGTAGGAAAGTCGGCTACTGCTTGTAACTCTCGGGCTCGAAGCGCGCTAAAGCCCCTCCTTAGAAAAGTGCAACACAGAAGTTGGATACGATAATTCATCCACTTACAGCAGAGTTTCAATAGGTGCAACTTGATCATTCGCAAGAGCAATTTCAAATAATTCCTCCCGAAGACGTGCTATGATCGCGCGTGCCCTGATACGGGTAGCATGGTGTATTAATCCATCAGTATTCCATCCCTTTTCGTCCAGGCGCCCAACGGCTCTCATAAAAGTAGCATGATCCGAAAATAATTCCTGTTCGCTTAGGTCGAGGGGTAAAGGAGTCGACGAATATCGAGAAGCGATAAGCGGTGGCCGTCCGGTGAACGAAACAATAACCATGGCCATGATGAACTTATGATGAAACAACACCTTCTTGATCTCAGACGTTACAGTTGTTGAATGCCTTTCGTTAGTCCGCATAGCATGGTATCCGAGGAACGTACAGAGGGATATCCCCTCCGCATGAGATCTCCATACGAGCAAATCTGTGAGGCATGAAATTAACGCGATTAGTCCGTGAAACCTGGATACCTATACTAAGTAGTACTTACTGGCATCGCCCACAATCATCGATTCCACAACGACACATTTCTGGCTTAGATAGAGCACTAGAGTATTTCCGGTGGTGAACTCCTTGCATAGTTCAAAGCAGAGACGTATGTTATCCCTGGATATACGGAAAGACTTGTCATACTCGGCAGAACGTTTCCCTTTCCATAGCGCGGTAGCATCCGAGGCAGGAACGAATTCCCAGAAGTTAGAGAGCATTCCTATAAGCTCCCAGCGTGTGTTTCGCCCCATGAATTGGTCAAGCCACTTCTCTGGGTCGGATTCGTTGTCTGAGAATGGCTTCAAAGTATTGGCGCAAATAATTTGCGCCAGCTCCTCTAGCTGAGCGGTTGTGCGATTCCCGGGCGTAAAAATATGACCAAAAGTGTCGTAAAAGGCCTTGACTCCCCGTAATGCAACTGGACGAACCCAACCGTCATTTCCAAGCTTGAAGCGGAGTGTATTGCCGTTTTTTGCATCAGGGATATTGCGAAGGGCTGTGAGACACATCTCACGAACCCGAGGAGACATCACATCTTGAGAAGCTCCATCAAGAGAATTATTAGCGGTATTTTCACAATGAGAGGAGGTGCATTCGGATCTCCGAAGGAGCGAGAGACTATTCTCGGTGTCCTCGTAGATATCACAATAACTAGTGGGGCCGAGATAGCCAGGCCGGGTAAGGGTTGAAGCCTGTATGCTAGATGTCACCTCCGGAGTGTTTTGAATTGGCCGGGGGGTTCTCCGGGAAACCGAGCGCGGTGTAGATGGCGCCGGGGATGGCAACGGGCTCTTGGACCCGGACGTCTTCGAATCCGATATAATGTAGACACATTCCGCATCTTGTTTTCTCTTCCTACATCGGTTGCAGACGGGTTGTGCATGGTCACAGGCTAACTTTCGTTTGCGACAAGGCTTGTGGATTTCATTAATGGTTACTCAAGAGGATTGACGTGTCTACAGTCACTTACATCACAGGCTTGAGGCCGACCGTTACGGCGAATAAGCAAGGGCCGGTTAGTATTTTCGAACATTGAAAGGAGAAAATGAGACACGTGCGTAATACGGCGGTTGACGTGGTCAGGCTACATTCAAGGGTTCCGAAGCCGCAACCCGAGAAAAGGATTGATTCCGGTATATTAAGGTGGAATAAAGTCGACGGAGTGCGACGTTGGTTGATGTTCGTGGACAAAGATAGCTCGGCTTCGGCTTCGGCTTAGTACTCGAGGAAGAAATGATCGTTGAAAAGTCCCCATAATAATGATGGGAAACGATTTTGATTTGTCGGCTACCGTCTCAAGCCGAAGCCGAAGTATTACATCAAGTCAGCAAAACGTACGGCTGTGCTGCATCGGACATGGGATTATATGACGGGGAATGTGTATATAGGTGACTCATATTTCAGGCCGATTGCTCACGCCGAAGTCGTTATAATGGTTAGAAAGACCCTATACAACCCATCACAAATTGTAATTTGAACTTCTATCAACACATCACAGTTTCTAACTCTCTTGACTTTTGCCTTGTCAAGCTACACGATATTACCTATTAAATAATTATATTTTCCCCAAGTTATCCTTCGCCATTGCTATAACTGTTGTAATTTCGGAACATATCATAATGTCACATCAATCTGCGTCTTACCCTACTATGGGTCCCCGACGATCGTCAATTGCTTCGGAGAAAACTCTCGTCGATACTCTGAGTCAGAAAGCTGATGTTTCTGAAAAGGATTATGGTAAGTACGCGAGATTAACCAATGTCTTCACGTTTATTACTATAGGTTGCTGACTTAATCTTGCCTTTAGACTTAAAGTCACCCTTCGATACACGATCCGCCCGAAGCCGAGGCAGCGCCAACTCAACCCCAAGTATGATGGACAAGGCCGCCAAGAAGGTCAAGTCTAAGCTTGGAGGGAAAAGCTCGACCTCCAAGACTAAACCCAAGCCTCAACCTAAGCAGTCGGGTCACGATTCGTATCCAGATACAGTGTACATGTGGCGAGCACTTGCAGGTAAGAGCTTCTTTTACTTAGCCATAAATGCGGAATAAGATCAATGACTAATAGTATAACAGAAACTAGGATTTGAACATGCTTTCCGATAATCTCGATTATATAGAAAGGCAGTTCACGACTTCACGCAGCTTGTCTGATATGACATTGACATAAGTCACTTGCCGAATAGAATTTGTTATCGGTTGGGCTTTCGTCACGATACCCTATCATATCAGACAACCGAAGTCACTCTTTGATGATATGTATGGATACGTTTACCTGGTTTTCTACAAGATTAATACACGAGGGTTTCGGCTTGGGAGAATATGACACCAGGCATATCTGGGTACCCAGACGTTGGAAAAGGGGCTGAGTAATTGTTTTATAGTTCCGGTCATGTTGGGACTGGATGCAATGGGGTACTTACAAGATTGTTAACATTATGAGGCTGCGTGTGTTCTTTTTATAATACCACCAAGTCTAACTTAAAGGGCTAAGTAAATGGTACTGGGTGGTTACTTGTTTTGTCATTTATTTTTAATAGTGTTTACCTATCAACATCCAGGTAATGATCACTTAATTACATGTCTAATACATACCAAACGAAACTACCTAATATCCAATGAAGAAGCTTGAACTTAATGCTGGTACTGTATTGATGATAATTACATACCTACCTGTAGGCTTGAATCAACTCAGTTAACCTACGGCTCTATATTTTCTTATATTGTCTTATTGCATAAATACTATGCTTAACTTGAGTATATATACATTCAGCCCATATAGCAGCATAATGAGTCATGGATTAGTTGAGTTGACATATTAGGTAGACAATTTGAACATCTATTATTCACCATCTCGGAACTTTTGTAAAGTAGCGAGAAGAGACAACATAGTCGCGATAGTGTGTATTATTGCTACGCAACTTACCCGAAAGCAACTGTCAATTATATCGTTCATTCTGCAGTTCGTAGAGACAATAATGAAGTACCGGAGTACCTTTCAACAGTCAAAACTTCGATATAGCCGATAGAATTTGCGTTACCCAATAGTTCGGGCCCCGCACGAACCTAGTCTGTTCCAGCGCTGTTTGGAGGACGGGGATGGCGGACGGGAAGGTTATTTGGAGGGACTCAAAAGTGGCGGTTGGAACATCACTGCGAGTAACAGATGGACCCCGGCGTGTGCCGTGCGGGCTGTCGGGTTGTGGAAACTGAGCGAATTCCCTGATTTTATCCAAGTTGTGAATCTCTCAAACCCACCTGGGCACCTATACTACCTAATCGTGGGCCGCGGAAGTGACGATATTCGCTTCGGTTGGTGCAGTACGGTAATTGCTGACAAAAGAGCTTATTGTGTTTTGCAACCGGGAAAGTGGAGTTTTGATGAGTTGGTAATTGTCCACACTGCGTAGGGCATTTGACACCCTAACCCCTGATAGACAGTGAAAGTTCGAGGCCAGTCGTGGACTCGTGGCCGAAAACAACCGAAATTATTACTCTAATATTACTTGATGAATATTCAGAAACCGGCGACAAAAGCGACAAAACCCAGGGGGGTGTTCTCAAAATGGATTCAAATCGTAACTGATCGTATTCGAATGGATTGCCTGATGGGGTGGTGAAATGAAGCCATTCGTGATGCGCGGCCCACTTCGGTGTACTTGACTCGAGATTTACTCGAATTGATCGAGAAACGATTGCTCGATAAAAATTCGATGAGAAAATTTATGGTTAATCTTTAATCTTAGTCCCGATCCACACTGTCCGTTCAGTTGGGGCCGCCGACGTAACACGATCGTCAATGCAAAGAGGATTCGATGATAACTCGACTTTCCGAGCGAAGATCTCTACTGCATAGTATTGTTTAGTATTGATAAGCCTTCGATGCGAGATAGTTGTTTGTTAAGGGGACATCTTGCAAAGTGTGAAGGTTATGTGTCACGCATTTGCAGATTGCATTGCAGCTGATTAAATCCATTTAATCCAATTTTTTGATGCGAGACGGTCAGGTCCGATATCGATATCGATATCAGCACGGTGGACAGGTGGACAATGACCAAATTAGGTTTGGTTCCCCCCTGACATAGACTAATGCAAGTCATAGCCTCTTCCAACCTAGGGCAAAGAAGTTTAAGCCAATCAAACGACAACGATAACAACCATTGTCCAATCCGAGCCCAGGCCGGGGGGTCTTTTCTTTCCTTCTTTCTCTTTTTTTACTCGATTTACCCTCTTGTTTCTCGTCGCCCACACCCACTTTTAACCACTTCCCGTCTTTTTCTTATCTCAATTTCCATTCCCGTGATGTTCTCGACCTATCTCCCTAGCCCGGCTGTGCCGTCTGAATCAGGGACAGGCGCGCATAGTAGTAGGACAGTCCGAATCTTTCCTTTCCCTTCCTTTCTCCTTCTGGAGAACCTCGAGATAATGCACCACCCCACAGGCTGCTTGTCTCTATCACTCACCGCCCACCACCCGCACGAACCACAAGGCCCCGTACTAAGAGTCAGTCAGTCAAGTTGAGACGATGGTCGACGGTCGTAGCGGTTGTTTGTAGCGGTAGCGGTAGCAGTAGCGGTATCGCTGCTTTGCTTACCCGGGGTCTAGTTCTGAGTAGAACCCGAGAGAGATCACACGAATTAAGCGTGACTGAGGTTTTGCTTACTCGATCATCTCCATCTACCCGTTTGTTATTTCTTCCTCGCTCTTCTGATTTCTCGTCTTTGTCTCGTCTTCTCATCATATATCCGTACTGCCGCACATAGTACTTCGCCAGTGGGTTTCCTCTCCGGTTATCTGTCTATCTTGACCCTCATTCCAGCCAAAAGCCTATTGCATACCACTATCGAATTGTGATACACACTCTCCTTTCTTTGCTTACTGGCCGCACTTCTTATCTTTCTTTGTCTGAATTGTCTTATCATCCATCCACCCACTTCTCTTGAACCATCCTGCGATAAGCAAGATCTCCTTTATTCTTGCTGCCGCCCTATCTTTGTCTAGCAACCCACCACTTCTATTTCTGGCACATTGCCTTGTCCTGCGGCATTGAGTAGGAAAAGGTCGACCTTACATAATGACCATCGCTTCTAGACCCAATGCCGGACCGTTGACCGTCCTTGTGTCAACAAGGGCCGTGCTCACCTTACCGGACGACAGCCTTGTTCTTAGCCCGGCTACCATATCCATCTCGCCTATCACCGGCAAGATAGTAGCGATTGTTCCTGATATCTCGCCTCAGGCGTCGTTCCCTCCATCGACCACGTATATTAACTATGGGTCGAAGCTCTTAATCCCGGGACTTGTAGATGCCCATGTGCACCTAAACGAGCCCGGCCGGACGGAATGGGAGGGTTTCAATACCGGCACCCGAGCGGCTGCTTCCGGTGGTGTGACTACCGTCGTTGACATGCCGCTCAACGCCATCCCGCCAACTACGACATTAGCAGGATTCAAAGAGAAATTGGCCGCTAGCCAGGGCCAATGCTGGGTCGACGTAGGTTTCTATGGAGGCGTCATCCCCGGAAACGCACATGAGCTTCTCCCACTAGTAGAAGCCGGAGTTCGCGGCTTTAAGGGTTTCTTAATCGAGTCGGGTGTAAGTTAGCGCTTATAATCTCATACGCATCAGTTGCTTACTGAATACGATAGGTGGAAGAATTCCCGGCTATCTCGTCCAATGATATTGCACTTGCAATGAAAACGCTGAACGGCACACCGACGACGCTCATGTTCCACGCCGAAATGATCCCGCCGATTGCGGATTCCGTTGGCGACGCAGTGCAAGCGTCTGGACCCCCTTTAGCACCACATGGCGACTTAAAATCGTACCAAACGTTCCTCGAATCGCGACCTCCGTCCTTCGAAACCTATGCGATCGACGAGATTATCTCGCTTGCGCACCTAGCCCCAAACCTACATCTGCACATCGTGCACCTGTCCGCGACGCAGGCGATCCCGATCCTGAAGGCCGCCCGCAAGTCCGGAATAGACATCACCGCCGAGACTTGCTTCCACTACCTGGGACTAGCGGCTGAAGGAGTTGAGAATGGCGACTGCAGATACAAGTGCTGCCCACCGATCCGCGAGCAGCGCAACCAGGATGGGCTTTGGGAAGAGCTAACAGCGCCGGACTCATGTATTAAGACGATCGTCTCTGACCACTCGCCGTGTACACCCGAGCTCAAGCTCCTTCCATCCCAGCTGCAAACCATCGAAGCGCCACATATGCACCACTCCGACTCGGGTGTCGACATGACAGCCGATCTGGACCTCACGACTGAACAAAAGCAGGAAGGAGCCCAGATCGCGAAAGAAGTGGGCGATTTCTTCGCCGCATGGGGCGGAATTTCGTCCGTCGGTCTCGGATTGCCCATTCTTTACACCTCGGCACTCAAGCGTGCCAAAGCAGGCAGCAAGTCCGCGCCGGGCATCCTCGACATCGTGCGCCTATGCTCCGTCGCGACGGCGAAACAAGTCGGGCTCTCTCACCGCAAGGGCGCGCTAAAGGTCGGCATGGATGCGGATATCGCCGTCTTCGACGATGCCGAGGAGTGGATGCTGAACTCCCACGGCATGCACTGGAAGAACAAGTGTTCGCCTTGGGAGGGCCAGCGGTTCGCGGGCCGCGTTAAGGAGACTTGGGTTCGTGGAACGAAGGTGTTCGAGTACGGGGGCGCGAACGGCGGATTTGTTGGCGGGAAGCCTGTTGGCGAGGCTATTACTGAGAAGAGAATTGCTTGAACTACATAGCAAGGTGAGCTTGGTGAATTGAGTTGTTCCCCCGCCAAGACCGATGCGCGGGGGCCGCATGAGGGGTCAGGGGAGATCGAGATGGGGATGGAGGTGGAGGGGTTGATGATTAACGGTGAGAAACGGAACACCGTGATGACCTTGACGAGCGCCACGTACAGCACCTATTTAATTGCTATTTGCATGGCCTGCGAGTGTGTTTTAGATGGAGTTTAAGGAGTTCAAGAGCAGAAACTGGCTTCACGGATAAGATGGTCTGGGAGTTAGAATTTTACGTAGAGCTGAATTGAAGATTTAGAATGTTTATATTACAATCAAAGGGAGTTCTAGCTTGGGGCGATTGATGAAGTGATGAGTTGTATGCGAGGGGTTGTACATACATGCAGCACGCGAATTGACGTGCTTTCATTGTGCTATGCTAGATGGATTGGAGGCAAGTCTTCTCCAATATTAGGTAAAGGACCCCGATGGATATCCAATGATTTAGGAATGGGATGTGCTGCGTCTCTTTCATTTTTGTCGGGCACTTGCATGGTTACATTGGCACTGGAGAATCATAGGAAGTTCGTACTAGATACTATGTATGGATTCATCTTTAGTTTGCTCGTAGTTCTAAGGTGAATACAAAGACTTGAGCTATGTGACACTATATGGATAGCTGTTGGAGGTTTGATCATAGTAGAAAAAATTGAAGTTCTGGTCAAAATAAATTGCTCCTTTTGAGCTTATTAGCTCTGGGCAAAAGGGATATATCCGTGGATACCTCATTTATCACATACAATGGTGGGTTTTACTTGATGCCGTTGGATGAATCCGCATGTTTGTTTACTTTTTCTGTTGAAGATCGAAAGGTGGCAGAGGCAGTTGGATATCTCAATTCTCAAAGTCCTAAAAAGAATACTGAGGTGGTCAACTAAAGCTTAAATTAAACATTATATACCACCCTAGTTAGTGAATTCCCTTGCGTAGGACTTCATGCTTTTTGTTTGAGGCTATCAGGGATTGTTCACCTGGTTAAGCGAGGTGCGACTCTTCGGTTTGTTTACGTCGGCAAGAGCATCAACGATCCCATTTATGAGAAATGACAATGTTTCATGATCTCAGATTCCCCACTTATTAAGAGTCTATCTGTATAAGCATAACCGATGCTTATATCGAGTTGGTATCGGGTAAGCTATCATTTTTCGGCAGGTACCTCATCGCTACCCCACCTTATCCACTCTGTCCACCGGGTACCCACTTTAACCGCCTTAACCCATCTTCAGTAATTTTATGGAAAACTTGTCCAGAACAACCATTTTGCCCGTCTTGTCCTTTAAAGATCGACAGCAGAAACTCCCTCATAATCTTGGCTAACATCTTCATTAGCATCTCTTTGCGAACGATGAGAGGGAACCTCGCTTGTGTCTCAGATAGAACCGAGAAAATGAAAATTCTTCCTCATTTCCGTTCCTATTCCTCCATCCTTTCGCAGCCATTCGCCGTATCTACATGCTCATGTGAGCTAAGTATTCAGCTCGTCTATCCCTCACTTAGCGGCTGAGCAATAAGACATTCCTTAAACGCTAGTCCCGCGCGTTACATAGATCCTATCCCTTTTCACATGGGAATCTTGACGAAGCGCCATGCGCATACTCCCTGAATATTCGTCAGCGGCTAGCTAAATAACTAGCGATGCATGAAATGCATGAGGCAACGCAAATCCCCAGCTGTGTGGCTTGCGGAATGACATCTCGGCTGTGCAAGCGAGGCGGAGCTTTTTCTTCCCGAACAACTACTTTACCGCATTTGAGCTTTGCACGAACTATCTAGGTAGGTTCTGTCCACGTGTCGCATAAGCTAGAGATCCCAACTTTACTGTGATGCCTTCACCGTATATTTACTGCTCACGATCAGTTAGCGTAGGCTGGTCATCCTGCTCGTTTTCAAATTAGACGAATCTTTGCGGGCTAAGAATACAGATCTTAGGTAAGAATCGTCGAAGTGGTACGCTTACAAGATCTAGCCTCGCTTAAAAGTTAATATACTATGCACAATATATCTGTGAGTAAGGGCTTGGCTAGCGGGACTGGATCGCTGTCAATTATATCTAGAACCTCCAGGCTGTACGCTATGCAAGACTATCTAGTGGGCACACAGCCCGACCAGGCGCTCGGATTGGGCTGAACTGAATTAGTAGGTAGTATCCCTCGATGCTACTATAAACAGCTTGGTTTGGTTTCCCCAAGTCCCCTACATGTCCTAACAGGGAAAGACGATCTTGTCGGCTAGCATCTGTCCCACCAAAAGCCAACTTCGCTTAGAGTCTCGAAGGGCCCTTACAGCCTATGATCGTATTTCCAGCGCAGACTTAGATGTCTACGACGGCATTCTCGATGCCGGGTGCTTAACAGAGGAGACCATGCCTATTAGGTAAATACCTATCTTTGTCCTAACAATGAGCTTTGGTATCAAGGGCGGCAAATTTATTCATTGACTAAAGGGCACATAAGCAGACCGCTCGAGAGGGAGCATATCGGCAATGTCACACGAAGCATTTGGTTGAATCATGATTCCCAGTGTTCGCCGGGAACGAAACGTCCTCGGTAAACGTAAACTTACTACGTAGTCCTAGTGGCAATCGGTTGCAGGCCTGCAGCGCCCCATGCTCCCAATTAAGGATCGCGCCCAGGATCCCCAGTCTACACTAGGTGGTTTGCTGGCTCGCGTGGGATTGATCCTGGTCAGACTGATGTTGCATCTTACATATGTACGTAGTACACCACATTCAGCAATTCTACTGCGGCAAATGACGGCGAGTATAGGTTTGCAATCTTTCGAGAACTTTTTCTTCTTTTTCGTACCATGCCGACCTAACCTTATGCCAAACTTTTCTGTTTCTTTTCAATATACATTACTACTAGCACCTCGCGAGCATAGCGCACAGATGCGTCACTATAGAGAATTCACTTGCCTAGCACCGGGAATGTCATAGCTACTCGAGTTAAACTCGAGTCTCTGCGCCCTAAAGGTCTCTCATACCACCTTGCCACATTTCCCGAATACTACTACAGCTCGACGTCATTGCGTTGCGCTACAAACATGGTGTCTTCAGCTTCATATACCGCACCCCCGAGCCAAGATGGACAACTCGGCGAGAAGCCTGCGATTATCGACATTGAGAAAAATGCACCTCCAAGCTCCGTCTCTACGTCGATGGATCTTCCTCGACCGGAGCCGACGCAGCGATTATCATTGCCGGCTGCTAACCACTTATCACTAGACGATGTTGAAGCTGTCGATGTTCAGATTCGGGATTTATCAGTTACCGTCGATACGTCGCCTTCGATCTGGGATCCTGCAACATACCCTGATTTGTTGAGCGGAAAGGGTCGCGATGGTCCAACAACCAAGACCCTCCTTAGTTCCGTTAATGCGTCCATGAAACCAGGAACTCTTACGGCCATTCTTGGCGGCAGTGGCTCTGGAAAAACGACGTTATTGAATACAATTGCAGAACGTATGGTTAGCTCTCGACTCTCTCGAACCGGAACCGCTACATTTAATGGGCAGGAAGGCGTGCACTCCGTTAGGCACGCATACGTAATGCAACAGGACATTTTGCTCCCGACTCTTACCGTACGGGAGACCTTGAGATACTCGGCGAACTTGAGGTTACCACCCCCAACAACCGAGGAGGAGCGGATGCGAATCGTGGAGGAAGTTATCCTCGAATTGGGCTTGAAGGATTGTGCGAACACCAGAATCGGAAATAGTCAACATCGTGGATGTAGCGGGGGAGAGAAGCGAAGGACGAGCATCGGTGTACAGCTCTTGGCGAACCCATCAATCCTCTTTCTGGACGAACCCACCACCGGCTTGGATGCAACAAGTGCTTACCAACTAGTCAGGACTCTCAAGACTTTGGCGAGCAAGGGTCGTACGGTCATTACGACTATTCACCAACCGCGATCCGAAATTTGGGACCTATTCGATAATCTCGTGATCTTGTCTAAGGGGAGCCCCGTGTATTCCGGGTCCATAAAAGAGTGTATCCCGTGGTTCTCAGAGCTCGGATTCCAATTACCCGCATTCGTTAACCCGGCCGAATTCTTGATCGATCATTCTGCGATTGATAATCGTACTCCGGAGCTCGAAGAGGAAAGTACGGCTAGAGTTAACCGTCTAACGGCAGCATGGAACGAGGAGTCAAAGAAGCTTCTTCCACCCCTTACCTCTGAACAAACCTCTGAGATGAAGAATAAACCTAGGCGGCCGAGGATGGAGCAACATGCCGGCTTCTTCCGTCAGGTGCGGGTGCTAACAGATAGGACGCTTAAAGTCACATATAGAGACCCGCTGGGAATGGCTGGTTCTATATTAGAGGCCATTTTAATGGCTATCATCACGGGGTATGTCTTCTATAATCTTGGCAGGGATCAGTCGGGGATTCGATCGAGACAAGCTGCGCTGTATATCTCAGTAGGCCTGCAAGGTTACTTGTTCCTGACGTTTGAGATCTACCGGTTGACTCTGGACATCCCCACATTCGACCGAGAAAATAGTGAAGGATGTGTAACTGCACTTCCTTTCATCATATCTCGCCGACTTGCGCGTCTCTTCACCGAAGATATACCTGTCCCATTTTTATTCAGCGTCATCTACTATTTCATGGTGGGCTTCGACCGCGACGTGTCCAAGTTCTTCACATTTTTCTCCATACTTCTACTTAACCATTATATCGCCGTTGCACTGGCGATCACCTCAGTAGCCGCTGTCAGGCACTTTCCTGGGGCAAGTCTAATTGCCAACCTTGCGTACACCTTGCAGAGCATGGCCTGCGGATATTTCATACAAAGCAATACGATCCCCGTGTATGTGAGGTGGACGAAGTATATCACTTACACGTATTATGCTTTCGGAGCTCTCTGCGGCAATGAGTTTCAGGATAGCTCTTACGATTGCCCCTCGCCGGGTGGAGAGTCAAACCCGGCATGTAAGCCATATATCGGGCAATACATCATGGATAACCTTGGATTCCCACGAAATTGGACCGCCCGGCCAATCCTTGCCATGCTTGGTTTTGCCCTTCTGTTCTTCGTCACTTCATGGGTTGGCCTAGCTTTTGTGAAGGTGGAAATGTCAATTGCACGAGCTCGAGCATCCGACACAGATCTTTCAGCCGGAAAAGAAAAGATGAATGCAAGATCAATGCACGAAGTTCGGGCAATAGATGTTGGTCTGGACGAATTTTCTCTTAAATTGGACAAGAGATCTCCAACAGGGAAAAAGTTGCCAACGAAGACGATTCTCAATCCTGTCACAGCAACGTTCCAGGCTGGTACACTCAACGTGATAATGGGTCCCTCGGGATCGGGGAAAACTAGTTTGCTTAATTCCATGGCGATGAGGCTGCATAGCACGATCGGGACTAGGTATAGGCCATCTGGCAAGTTAACCTTCAACAATGCTGTGCCATCAGACTCCGTGGTACGGTCAATCGTGTCTTACGTCTGCCAGGACGACGACGCGCTACTTCCATCTCTAACCGTTAAAGAGACACTTCGTTTCGCAGCTGGCCTTCGGCTTCCCTCGTGGATGAGCAAGTCGGAAAAATATCAACGAGCTGAGGATGTTTTGGTTAAGATGGGTCTTAAGGATTGCGCCGACAATTTAATTGGAAACGAGATGGTGAAAGGCATTTCAGGAGGAGAAAAGAGACGAGTTAGTATCGCCATACAGATCCTTACGGACCCTCGTGTCTTACTGCTCGATGAACCGACAAGTGGACTGGACTCTTTTACTGCCAATAGTATCTTGGAAGTGCTGCAGGGCTTGGCGAGGGAAGGCCGCACGTTAATACTCACAATACACCAAGCCAGATCCGACATTTTTAACCATTTCGGGAATGTACTGCTTCTTGCTAGAGGCGGTTCGCCTGCTTATGCTGGCGCTGCGAAGGATATGCTACCTTACTTTGGCAGTCTTGGATATCAATGCCCTCAACACACCAATCCAGCTGATTTCGCACTCGATCTCATCACCATAGACCTTCAGGAGGCTCGAAGGGAGGCCGAGAGTCGAGAAAAAGTCCAAAGACTCATCAATTCGTGGACTAGACTCATGAATCAGCCGCAGTCGGGAAAGATGCAAGCCATCCCGCGACTTTCTGATATCAGCGAGGCAGGCGCAGAGTCGACGTCTGAGAAAGGAACAAGACCGTATAGCTCCGAAAAGGCAACTGGCGAGATCACAGATGTCTCGGCGGATGCAAGTGGGGCCGATCGAGAGCAAGCTGTCGATTCAGATGACACGCTAGAAAGGCGGCTTTCCAACCCTCTTCCTCGCCGGTCACTCAACAAGGCCGCCCTGGCAACACCAGCTGAGTTAGGTGCCCTGGTCCATAAACGTGCATCTTTCATAACCGCATTCCCGATATTGCTGCACCGCGCATCAATCAACCTTCAGCGACAGCCACCGCTCCTCCTAGCGCGCATAATGCAAGTACTCGGACTGGCTATTATCCTAACCCTTTTCTTCGCACCAGTACACAACGATTACTACAGCGTGCAGAATCGGGTAGGTTTCGTGCAAGAGATGGGCGCCTTCTACTTCGTCGGCATGCTTCAGAACGTCGCCGTTTACCCCGCCGAGCGCGAGGTGTTCTATCGCGAAGACGACGACTCTGTGTACAGCGTGGAGGCCTTCCTGTCGACGTATACGCTGCTCGAGGTGCCTTTCGAGATCATATCCTGTCTGCTCTTCGGCATCCTGGCAGACTTCGCGGTGGGCTTTCCGCGCACGGCGGAGATGTACTTCGTTTACGTGTTCTGCTGCTTTGGAATTGTGTCGTGCGGTGAGAGCTTGGGCATTATGTTTAATACCCTGTTTAATCACACCGGGTTCGCCGTCAACGTCATCTCCATTCTGCTCTCCGTCGCACAGATCATGGCCGGAATCATGTCCATCGACATGCCGGAGTTGTTCAAGGCGTTCAATTACATCAGCCCTCTTAAATACGCGACGGCCGCGCTGGCGCCGTTCACGCTCAGAGGGGTTACATTCACGTGCGATGACGCGCAGAGGCTACCCAACGGACAGTGCCAAATCGAGACGGGGGAGCAGGTGCTGGATCTGTATAAGTTGAATGTAGATCCCTACGTTAATCTCGGCGCGCTAGGAGCGGCGATCGTCGTGTACAGGCTTGTCGCGTGGCTTTTGCTTAGGCTAGTGAGGACGAGGTGGAAGAGTGTGGTCGAGAAGACGAAGAAATCGTAAAAAGGGCTGGTTTCCGCCCTCTTCTAGGGAGCTGCTCATTACTGGGTTTCAGGTACATATTTGGATTCACCTTGCACATAAAAAGGTTAGCTGTAGAGATGCCCAGCTATCGAGTACATATGAGAAAACGCTATTTACGTCATGTTAAACCTCTTCTATGACCAATTTGGCTTTATCTAACAAACATTGAAGCTGAAATATCGGTGTAGGTTGATCGCCAGGCTATCATCCAAAGGAGGAGTCATGTCCGTCTTAGCTATCGTACCGACATCACCAGCCTCCGGATTCAGAATCACGAGGTGTTTCGAACTATCCGATTCAGTAATGCGAAGAATTTCTAAGCGCGACCCGCTGAGGCGATAGAGCTACTAACCATCCATGTCCAATTATTAAGCATGGAAGATACACGTTTTCGAGATCTGATAAAATTTGTGGTTCGTTTTGCTTGCAACCGGGTGCCCTTCAAATCGATGTAGGCATGTTTAAATGTTTAAACGTCGAAATGAAATAGCTTATAACCTTGTCGTCCACCCGACTCGGAATTGTGTCAAATTGTGTCAGCATCCCGCCGCATGGTAAACGCCGTTTTTAGACTCGGGCGAATTCCCTGTCGCTGGGGACTACGGGTGGCCAATGGCAGGGCTTAGAAGTCGGATCTGGAGATAATGTACCCTTGATAGTGCCGGCGCATTATCCGCTAAAACAGCCCCCAAAGACTAAGATTTGTTGGCGGAGCTAAGCTGCATTGACATCAGAAGGCCGGCGGGGTAATTGCCGTCAATGGCTTCTATTTCCACCACCGAGACATTTTTGGGGTGGATAGGGTAGCCTTCTAGGGCTTCCAGGATGGGAGGGTTGAAGATTATTGGGGGACAGGGTAGGTACGTTACCTACTAGAGCAGGTAACCTAAACATACGAAATTCTACGAGTTTCTTAGCCACCGTCATACGAGCGTGTATATTGTGAAAATCTTTTGTTATCAAGGGTTTGATGTTTTTGGTATATAAACACTGGACGTCATCGATTTTGAGAAAGGATATTGTCGAATCTTTTGAATATAACATCTTAAAGCATAATAGCTTGTAATAAATAGAGCATTTTACACTATCTAATACCGCCGTCCATACGTCATCTTACTAAAAACACCTTCGATACACAAACCTCAGCTGAAAAAGACAACCATAATGGCGCCTAAAGTACTCGTCGTCCTAACCTCATACGGCCGCATCGAGAGCATCGGACAGCCCACCGGCTGGTACCTGGTACGTAATCCTTCAGCCCATCCCCTCCTGCACAGCGCAATCCTTCGCATCCAAATCTGCGCCCCGGATTAGTAATCATCCACCCAACTAACCCCTCATCAGCCCGAGTTTGCGCACCCCTACGAAGTTCTCTCGAAGAAGGGCGTAGAGATCGTAACCGCGTCGCCGAAGGGCGGCGTCGCGCCGCTGGACCCAGGGTCGGTCGAGGCGTTCAAGGGGGATGCCAGCGCGGCCAACTTCCACGCGACCAAGGCGGCGCTGTGGGAACAGACGGCGCCGATCTCGAGCTTCCTGGGCAAGAGTTCCGACTTCGCCGCGCTGTTCTACCCGGGCGGGCACGGGCCCATGTTCGACCTGGCCACGGACGCCGACAGCATCGCGCTGATCAACGAGTTCGTGGCCGCCGGCAAGCCCGTCGCCGCCGTGTGCCACGGGCCCGTCGTGTTTGTGAACGTCGAGCTGCCCGGCGGCAAGAAGCTGCTCGCTGGCAAGGAGGCGACGGGGTTTAGTAATGCGGAGGAAGATGCTGTGGGCATGAGCAAGCATATGCCGTTCGCGCTCGAGGATAAGATTAAGGAGGCTGGTGCGATTTATAAGAAGGCGCCGGAGCCGTGGGCTCCGCTTACGCTGGTCCAGGATGGTGGGAAGTTCATTACGGGACAGAATCCGGCGAGTTCGGTGGGGGTTGGGGAGGCGCTTGCTAAGGCTATTGGTGTTTAAGGGGTGATGTTTGTGTAGGTATCCGTGATGAGGAATGGAAGGACGAGGGAAAGATTGGAGAGGAAAAGGGGCGAGGTTGTTTTACGCACGTAAAAATGATACCAATCGTTACACGTTCAACAGTCATCGGAGGATAATCTGCATGAATATGAGGAATAATGAATGATCGAATGCTAAACTATCCACCTAAGATATCGTTGCGCTCACGCTATGCCTATGCTCATTCTTCCTAGCATCATATATACACTATGTGCACGTGTAAGGTACTATGTATACCTACGTTTATACAACCCCCTAAAACACACTTAGTCGACAATAACAAGAGGCCTTAATCGGTATATCCGCACCCTCGATCGCCTTATCCAGTTGCGGCTTTATCCTCTTCGCTTCATCGAGCCGCCCCAGCTTCACCAGGCACTCGTGGTACCCATGTAGCGCCCACACATTATTCCGATGCTGCAGCGCGCGCGGTAACTTTTCACTGATTCCCAGATCATCCGCATATACTTCAACCGCCTTGTCGAAATGCCCCTGCTCAACAAGCAGTGCGCCTAACGCATGGGCAGGAGGCTGCATCCAACCCCAAGGCTCATCATACGGCAGCGCAGCGCTCCGCTGAACCGCGGTCCTTAAGTGCTCAAACGCATCCTCGTAGCGCCCCTCGCGGTACTTCAGCTCACCATCCAGCATCGCCTCCGCCACGCCCAGGATATCCACGCACTTGTTATTAAACACAGTCCTCGACTCCGGGACCCTCTTCACCCTCTCCGCAAACTCCACCCTCTTCTCCCTAGCCCTCTCCACATCCCCCTTCGCCGCGTACGCCATGCCCTTCGCATAGCAAATCAGCGCATTCGTCGCGCAATACAGCACCCCATCGTCCTTCTCCGCCATCTCCAAAACCTCATCCCACATCCCGAACCGCACCAGCGCGTGCGCCCGCATACCCGCGAACCCTTCCAACCAGTCCGCCATCGGCGGGCTCTCGACGCGGAGCAAGCTTTCCGGCAGCGCTTTCTCGACCGCGGAAGCCGTGTCCAACGCCGCGCGCGACGACCCCGCGAACATGGCCGCGTAGAGCCGGAAGTGCAGGTCGTGCATGCGGTATAGCGTGTAGAAGCATGCTACCGGCTGCTGCCCTTCACCACCACCACTGCTACGGCCGGAGGACTCGCGCGCGAAGAACTTGTTATCTGCGATGATGGCTGCTTGGTTCGACGCGATGGCCGCTTGGTAGTCGCCGACCAGCACGTCGATGTGTGTTGGCATGTGGTTCAGGTGTCCGGCGTCCGGGACGAGGGCTCGCAGGGTGTTAGCTGCCGGCAGCGCGGCTTCGGGCGTAGGCGACATCTCCATTAGGTGGATGTACAGGTGCAGCAGGCCCGGGTGGCGGGACCCAGCTCCGCTGCCGTCTTGGGCCATCGCGCGCTCGAGGATGGCTTTCGCTTCCAGCGTGCGGGCGCCTGGCGCCGGGGCCCCCGTGTCGAGGTCCCAGAGCTGCCAGGGGGTAAGGTTCATGAGAGCGTCGACGTACAATGTCGCGACGTCGAGGTCGTCCGGGAACAGCTTATACGCTCCGCCCATGGCGTCGGCGTAGCTCGCGTTCCAGATCGACCATTTCCGATCCGCGGCTTTTTCCTCCGGAGGGTACCTGTACTTCAAGGCATCTACAAGCGCCCTCTCGACGGGCGACGCTTTGTCCGCGGACGCTTTGGCTTTCGCGATGGCGTCGCGGGTGCGCCGCATCACGTTGTCCAGCTCAGTCTCGTCGAAGAATTCCCAGGGCTTGTTGTAGTTCGGGCCGAGGACGTAGGCCAGGCCCCAATACGCGAATACGCAGTCCGCGTCGCTGGCGATGGCGCGCTCGAAGCACTTCGCGGACTCCTCGTGATTGAATGCGTAGCTCCATATCAGCCCGCGGTTAGCCCATTCGCGAGCCTCCTCGCTGTTCGAGCTTACCGGCCGTTCGTATGAGCCGAGGTCATAGTAATCCTGATCTAGTTGGTCTGCACTGGCTTCATTAGACTTATGGGCCATGGCGCTTGTTTTTTAGTAGCGATTTGGGATAGTTGGTGACCAACATCATGAGGTGCGATGGCGCCACTGGCGTCTCCATTTTTGTATACACCTACGGACTGAAATCGTTTTATCCGAGCTTTGTTGGAAGCTGACATAAGCCGAGGTTATGCAATCTACGAAGGATTATTTATGCAGATATCAACTATTGGGACCCCTTTTTGTGTTAATAAATGCTTCACTCCCTTTGCGAAGAACTAAAAAATCATACTCCCATTCTACTGTACGTACCTATTTTTATTATCCTATCGCATCAATGCCTCGTTTTCTTGTCCTAACTCTTTGAATCAGCATCCTCCTAAGCCTCCGATCGCAGACGTGGAGGTAACGACATTATCATGAAGGAAGTCTGTAGCAAGATGTGGTATTGTGGGAAATCTGTAGTTATTTTAGTCTAAGTTCCAATACCGATTAGCTCCAAAGAGCTAAGAAGGCTACTAGTGTACTAATATACTTGATGCTTGGTTACATGACATCGCCACCGACAAAAATGCTTACACCCACGTAAGCCACTATAGTGCCTGATTCTTTCTCATGTTGTAGTCTGCTAACGTCTTATCCTTGTCCTCGCCTAGTTCATGTTTCGTCATCCACTTCGTATATTCATTGCCGAGTCCTTCATACTCGACGAGGTATCGGTGCTTGATTAGGCCATGGTCGATGGTCTTTCGCTGGTGTGCTTAGACAAACCCTAAACGCGCCTTGTCGAGGAATACGTTATTCATCTCAGCAAGTTCCTTTATCTATCTACTCCGTTCTAATTCCTATCGCCAATATGTTCCTGCGGACCAAACTCTGACCCGACCTGGCCTGTAACTACTAATTTCTTCAACAGACTCGGATTGACGCCTTCAACGTAACCAGCGCGAATAGCCAAACCCCGATCCTATTGAGTGAAATTCCAGCGAAGAGACTACCAACTTTTAGAGGAATCTTATTACGTGGTGGAATATGCATCTTGCACCCCACCAGCATATGGCAACATTCGTCCAAATGGATGTTACGGTCGTTCTCATGATCTTTCTATGTTGATGTGCCGTCTAAGTCCTATCTACTCCTGGGACTTGTACTATGTAGATACTCATATGCTACTAGATAGACCAACAAAGTGGGTTAATCATATAACAGTACCTAAGACCCGTATCACGGAGACCTTGGTCTATTGCCGCTGGCAACGTGCCAAATCCATCCTTCTTTGCGTCCCCATAAATCCTAATGGCCTCCAACGCATCTGGATCTGGTAGCTTGATTTGACATCCTGTCAAGTTGTAGTCCGTCTCGGTGAGCTTTTGTCGTATCTCGCCAATAATGGCCTTCTGGTCCAGATACAGTTCTGTCTCTGATAGCTGCATATGTGGACGTATGCGTCCCAGTACTTCGATGACTTTGGCCTTGTTGAACAACAGTCTTGGAGGGTTTTTCGACAAAACTCGCAACCAATAATCCTGTACTGAGTCCGCATTCTTAGGTAGCTATTGAAATGGGAAGATTCTAGGGGTGTCCGCTTGGTGGTAAAGTCTGGTGACTGAAGAAGGTTACCGCTCTGGTCGCTTGAAATGTTTGTTAGTGTTGTCCCGCGATACTCCTAAACAGATTTTCTGATATACCTACTTATAGATAGTTGTCTTCTGAGTCGCCCTCGCTGCACCTCTAGGAGACTTATTGGTGGCTAGTCCTTGAGTAGGAACCCTTCCCGTATGTATACCGTGTTCCTTGGGTGAGATTAATTTGAAGCCCGTTGAGTAACAACATGTTGTCTTGCTCGTTAGTTCCGCCTCATGACAAGCTAGCAATATTGGTAGTGATGTATGTGACAGCAATTGCACTCAGTGTTGGAAGTAAGAGTAGAGTCCATTCTCGCCCAGTCGGATGGCGAGACCAAGAACGGATTGTTTGCAAGAGCACGGATGAGGTGCTATCAATTGTGGGTGCATATAGTCAGGAGTAATAGTAGCAGAAAAGATTAGAGGGGATAAGATGTTGTATTTGTTAAGTTCTCTTAGGCCTTGGATCTCATTGTGGAGATCTTAAATACTAGTACAGTATTAATCGCACCTTCCTGCCAGGTACACTTCATCTGTAGCTTTGGAACTGTAGGTAATGATAAGACATCTACGGATGCCTGTGTTGTAGTCATTCTCTAGATATCTCGTGCGAGGTGAATTCTCAACGAAATATGATTGAAAAACTGAAGTGAGGCATGATGAGTATTCCAGGCATGATTAAGAATACCTAACGTTCAATAAGGCATTTATGTGTATCTACAATTATCTGAAGAACCAAATGGGAGGAAAAGAAAGAATTTGAGATTCAGGAACAAGACGGGTACTTATAAAAAGTGAAAACCAGCAAGACGACTAAACGACGTGTTGACTGAGCACATTCGTCAAACACGCGGAAACCTTAGAATTGAATAACCTCTCACTATGATGTACCGTGTCATTCAAATGGATATCTGCCTTTTACGTAAGGTATTTGTGAACAAGGCAGCGACGACCCTATTTCCAGGAGGTATATAGGTATGCTAGGATCATCCAACCCAGGGCATTGCATAGATAAAACAAATAAAACAATTGCAATTTATTTAACTGCTTTAAATAAATATAAATAATTCGAGAGTTTTATTTATTCGTTAAAATTTATTGTTTTAATTACTTAATAATTAGGAAAAGTAAGTTAAAATATATTTTTATTTATATTTTTATTATTAATTTTATTATTATTTTTCGAACTTATTATTTTAAAAGAATTAATTTTTAAAAATTATTTTTAAAATAATTTAATTAAGTATTTTAATTTAATTAAAAATTCATTCGTATTTAATTAATATAATAAATAATAATAAAAGCGGTAATAAAAATTTAATAATAAAAATAAAAATTAAAAAAATAAAAATAAATAAGAAAAATAATTAAATTAAAAATAATTTAAATATTTAAAATAAAATAATTAAGTAATAAAATTTATAATATTTTTAATGTTAATAATAAAAGTAGTTCCGGTTATTTAAATAATTATGTGGTTTTATTATTTTATATATTAAAAAGGTTTTAAAAAATAATTAAAAATTTAAACATTAAAAATAAAAAAAAAATAAGTATATATGTGGGGCATAAAATCCTTATATAATAAATATTTATTTAAATAAAATAATAAGTTTTTATTTTATATAAATAAATAAAAAAAATTCTTTATTTTATTTTAATTAATTTAAATAATTAAAAATAAATTAAATAATTATTTTATTTATATAATATTTTAATTTAACTTTAAATATATTAATTTATTTTCCGACTTTATTTATTTATTACGTTTTTATTTAAATTTTCGTATAATATAAAAAATATATAACATTTCGTAATATTATATAATTAAAGTTAATTTAAAATTAATTTAAATTCAATTAATTTAATTAATATTAGGTTATTTACATGTAAATATCGACGTTAATAAAACCACCACCCTTCCTATATTTCTATACAACAAATGTAGCGGGATATTTATTATAAAGAGGTACTGGTGTTGTATATGATCAGATTTATTCAATTAAAAAGGATGTAGGTGTATCATGATTAAACTTTGTATTTTATTATTGGAATGAAATATGTAAAGTTATGGAATGCTTTGTTGCCCCTTTTTCGCAAACTCACGACCCCTGAGAGTGGTTCAACTGCTTCCCCCCACTTTTAATCTAGCCAATCACATTACATTTAGTTCAATACCCGTTGGAACTGTTTGTCTTCAAGCTCACTCATCCCTTCAATCCTTTTCACTGTTTATGTGTTAACGGCTCAAATATATCATCCAATCATTGTTCTTATCGATTGACCAACATTTAAATTAAATGGGGAATCTCGAGGTACATATCCTAGGTAGCTGCGAGGGCAATGTCATTTCCCCCCTCTGATATTTTTCTCTTACGGTTCTAATTCCTACCTAGGTACCTATCCTTTATTGGCTTGACTCCTACTTTTTATTTTTATTTTATAAGGATCGTGCGCAGTGGTAACGGGCGTCTGAGCAACTTCCCCGTCTACGGGACATCTTGAAAACGTATTTTAAGATGTGGCCTTTTTCCTCTTATCCGGAATACTCCCCGTCTCAAGTCGATGGCAAAATCTATGACTATATCATTGTAGGAGGTAAATGGCAGATGTGTCTCAAATTCAAGGACTTGGCTGACTTTCATATTTTTATGATCTTAGGCGGCACTGCTGGTTGCGTTATTGCATCACGTTTGTCAGAAGATCGCGATGTCTCGGTTCTCGTACTAGAAAGAGGTCACGTCAAGGATAATGTAGTATCACGTATGCCGCTTGTCAGCCAGAATATGTTCCTCGGAAACACACTGCAAGTTCAAAGCAATCGCTGGTCAGAGCCGATGCCTGGTGCCAACAGAAGAAGAAATCGTCTGTGGGCAGTAGAAGGAATTGGAGGTGCAACTCGTATGAATGCAATGCTGTGGACTCGCGGGTTTCCTGGAGACTACGCTGCCTGGTATGAAATGGGCCTCAAAGACTGGGCTTATGAGAAACTCGAGCCATATTTCCGAAAGATTGAGAACGCCGTCGCCCATCCAAAATCTAGCTCAAGAGGCCATAAAGGTAATTTCCTCCATTTCACAGAAGCATGCTAAATCATAACCAAGCTCCCCCTTTCGAAGCGCTAATGTGAAAAGGCCCTATTGAGCTGCGGCAGTTTACCTACCCATTTATATGGACCACATAGTAGGCTTCATCCACTTACTATCATCTATCTTATTCTAAGACCTAATTTACGCCATAGTATTGAGAAGGCTGTCCAGAAACTTGGCTTACGCCTTGAAAAGGACACCAACGACCCTACTGCGCCGGCTATGGGTTACTTCAACCTTGATACATCCATTGATGCCCATGGAAGGAGAATTTCGGCATTTTCTGCGTATCTAAACAAAACAGTGGCTTTGCGGAGACGAGGTCACCTCGCCGTCTGCACCGGTGCCGTTGCATCGAGATTAGACGCAGATGCTCAAACGGGACTTGTCACTGGAGTCCACATTCGATGTTCCAGCGGTTTACCTAAGGAATTTTTCGTTAAGGCACGGCGTGAAGTCATTGTTTGTTCTGGTGCAGCCTGTACTCCGCAGCTTCTTTTGCTTAGTGGGATTGGACCTAAGCAATCGTCGGAAAAGTTTGGCATTCCCCTCGTCAAGGAGCTACCGGCAGTAGGTGCTACGTTATCCGATCATTACAGCATCCCTATCATGCTCGAAGTCCAACCGAAAGAAACATTTCACATCTTAGAAACAGTTTGGGGCATCTGGTATTTTCTACTTTGGCTGTTCTTTGGAAAAGGCCTTCTGGGTCTATCTTCCATGTCTAATTCGGTTTTTATACGTACTGGCGCCATTGACGAGAGTAACATGCAAGTTAAAAGCCATGACGAAGAAGGACGCGACAATCTAGACGCCTCCATATCTCGTAATGTTCCAGACATCGAAGTCATGTTTATGCCTAGCAGCTCTGTTGAAAGAGCTGTTTTAGGCCATACATTTATGTCGATATACCCTACCTTGGTCCAACCATGTGGCTCAGGTCGTGTTGAGTTGGTAAATACGGATTCACTTAGCCAACCTCAAATAACGTACCCATTATTTACCAACGAACGTGACATCACATCTGCTAGACTCGCTGTCCGTTTCGCTATGCGGCTAGCTGACGAGCTACAACACTCGGGCTATCCACATCCCATAAGGCTCGCCTTCGCTCCAGGCCAAGATCCTAGCATTCTTGACGAGTGGGAGAACTCTGCTCCCGTTGATTATTTACCAGGACCGGAACCAGTCGTTCCGTCTATTCTGGGCGTGCGGGACTCTCAAGTTGCTGCGGATTCCAAGCAGCGCATCACTGAAGGGCTTGAATCACGAATGAATAAGACATGGAAAAGCGTCACGGACGATGAGATCGACATCTATATGAGGAGAGTAAGCCACACGAGTTTGCATTTCTCAGGCACGTGTCCCATGTCCAATGATGAGAAATCAGGCGTTGTTGATCAAGAACTCCGCGTGCACGGTTTCAGCAACTTGAGAATTGCGGATACAAGCGTATTTCCTAAGATCCCCAGTTGTCACACCATGGCACCTGTGATGGCTGTGGCAGAAAGATGTGTAGACTTGGTGAAAGCGGCGTGGAAAGAGAGGAAATCACAGTAGCATGCATCAAACAGCTATTATGAAGAGCAGAGTAAAGGTGATTCTAGTATAAGTATATCGGAATGGGAGTGTTAACTATTCTATTTTACAATTGACAGAAATTTGCCATGCAAATTAGTTGGACGACCAGACAGCCTTGTTCTCCTCAGCGAACTTCTCAAAGCTTTGTGGAGGGTGTCCTGTCACCCTCTCGACGGCATCGGATGTCCCCTTCTCGAAGTCTTGCGAAGCCAAGACCTCTAGACGAGTCAGAAATCGAGCGAAGTAATCCGATAGGCCGGCTTGGACTAAGCCGTCAATCCGGCCGGCTTCGTCGAGCTTTGCATGTTCGATCTTGCGCCCGAGAACTTTAGAAAGCGTCTCAGCAATCTGTGAATGCATTTCGTGTCAGTACTGAGTTATGACACTTTCTGTTGAAATGGAAAGGGAGACAGAAAGGGTGATCGCACCTGATCGTAAGTCAAGTTTTCAGGCCCGAGAATCCTAAGGTCACAGTTATAGGACTTCTCGTCCGTCAGGGCGTGATGAGCCACCTCGGCAATGTCACCCGCGCTGATGAAGGGAATCTTTCCATCCTGAGCGGCAGTGAAGATCTTATTCAACTTGCCGATGGTAAATGCAAGGCCCGGTTCAATCAAGTTTTCTATGTGAAATGGGATGTATCAGCAACTCGAGAACATGAACTGATAAAAGGCCAACAGCTAAGGCCACATACCCATAAACCAAGATGGGCGAAGCACACAGTAGTCAACACCAGACTTGACGAGATGCTCCCAAACTCTGCCCATTCCGTCCTTGCCAATTGTGGCCGAGGTGCCAGCGCATAGAACGAAACGATTGACGCCTTTCTCCTTGGCAAAATCCACGAACTTGTTCATTGGCACCCAGGGCTCGCTAATCCGGGGCTCCATCATGTAGACGGCCTTGATCTGCGTGTTCTCGAATGGCTTCGTCCAGGTCGACTCATCGCTCATGTCAAATTTGACCGTGGCATGATCATTTGACCCAGCACCAGGCCCTTGACGCGTGCCTAGGAGAAAGGGCTTCTTGTCCGCGGCAAGCAATGCTGCGACGCGTGGGGCCGTCTTGCCGCTACCGCCGGTGAGGAGAATTGACATGCTGGATGAGAAAATTGACCTTTACTGCTTGAATATGTGCCTATATGTGAGGAGGGCGGTCAAAGAAAGGAAGAGAGAGTAGAGCAATATAAGGAAGAATCGTTCGGCAGTTTGCTGCTTACCAGCAGGCCGTCGTCATAACCGTTGCATTCAGACCGGAGATAAGGGCATAAAGCATCGCCTCAGATTTCTCTCCTGGACGGAGTTAGCTTGCGCCGGATATCGAAGGAATAGGAATGAGATCCTAAAAGAGTTACCTAAATGTAACTAACATTCAGCAGAACCATGAGCTCCCTATGCACCAATTCGGCGTAAAAAAAAAGTAGGCCAATGCACCCAATCAGGTCTTCACATCATGGGAGAAGATTACCTATTGTAGAGAATGTTTTCTTTCGGATTTACTACTCACCGAAAATGGCTCTTGAGGGGATAAGCAAGCATGTTAGGTAATCCGCTCGTAGCGGACTAGATGGACCGGCGATTAACAATTCTAGCGGCCAAACTAGCCGAACAGGCACACCACTTCCTTCCCGCCAAGTTCGCTAGCCGACGGTCCGCTTCTGACCGAGAGGTTGTCACAGACATTTGCTAGGCCTCTGTCGCATCGCTCGGCCACGGCGATGACCAACGTCCAACTGCGAAACCGAATTGGCTTACACATAACCCTCGTATTCAACCACTGATACTAGGTTCGATACAAAGTCCTAGACAATAATCCTAATAAATAAAAAAATCAATTAGCACCTTCAAACCGTAATTAGCCAATGGTGAATATATTTAATTTAGCTGCGTATGAAAGGGGGAACTCATTGAAGCTCTGGGATGGTCGTGTGATACATCCGTAGGTTAGTACCTTTGCTGTAGCCATTCCATCGGGTCCGGCAACTTCAACCAACACACGGGCCTAGACGATGTGGTTCGCCCTGTTGGCTGCACATGTCTGTCACCAACTGCACACGCTCATCCCATTCATGCATTAGTGCTGAAGTTCTCTTCTGCAATCCACGGATTGAAGGGTCTGTTCTCTTGCATCAAGGCCATAACTTCCCACCCTAACATAAGCAGACCCCGAAGCAATGGACCTCCAGAAAGGCACGATCTTAGTGACGGGTGCGAATGGAGGCCTTGGTAATGCAATCGTATCCCAGATTATTTCAAACGCCGAACTTGTAACTTACAACGGTATTTTCACTGTACGGAATGCCGAGGCTGCAATTAGATTTCGTGCTACTCTCGAATCATCCAAGTCGGCGCCAGTATCTTCCAAATCCTACGAGATAATACCACTCGATCTTTCGCGTCTTGATAATGTGCGTGAAGTTGCTGCGACCATCAATACGAACGTTGAGGCAAGAACCATCCCTCCTATCAGCGCCATTATTCTCAATGCCGGCTACGAGGAATTCGGAGAGCAGACATGGACCGAAGACTCATTAGACACAACTTTTGTCGTCAACTATCTCAGTCATTGGCTTCTCACGCTGCTACTTCTTCAAAGCATGGATCGGGATAGGGGAAGGATCATTTGGATTAGTAGCTGGTCCCAAAAGCATGTGGCGTATTCTGAGGTGATATTCATCCAAGTCTATGCTAACCAAGTTATACAGTCCTGGAGATAGGCACAACATTATGAATGGGTCATTCCAAGATAGTAGATACAAGACAATGATTACCGACGATCTTGAACCACTTGCGAAGGGTACCTGGAGTCCAAACATAGACGGCGAGCATACCTGGGCTGCCGGATATCGCCGTTATGGCGCTTCGAAGATGTGTGGAGTTGCAATGATGTACGTTTCCCCTTTATCTTGTTAGCCTACCCTATCAAAATTATCAATGGAATGCCCGACCAAAAGTAGCATAACTTTCTAATTATATATTCTCGAGGTAGTCATGAGCTTCAAAGAAGACTTGACCAGGACCCGGTTCTCAATAATGTGTCCGTGCTCGCTGTAGATCCTGGTGGGATGGCGACCGGTATTGTGCGTCATAGCAACTGGTTGGTTCGAGTCCTAGTATTTCGTATATTCGCCGGTATGCTAGCGGGTTTGCTATTGCTCATATGGCCCAACGGCACCTGGCGCACGCCACATAAGTCAGCTCGCGATGTCCTAGCCGCTGCCCTTAACGATGGGCCGCCACCGCTCAGCGAGCGACCCAAAGGACTCTACCTCAATGGTTCAGAACTAGGAGACTATAATTTCGAGGCAAAGGATCCCAAGAAGGGGCGAGCGATATGGGAAGGTAGTGTTCGTTTCGCGCGTTTGAAGGCAGATGAGATTATCCTTAAGGATTGGATGTGATAACTCTCCCACCTTTCAAAGAGGGAAACGAGTTACAATCAATGCTTCCTCTAGTAATTTAGCTCAGTCACCTTAATAATAGAAGTCTTCTCGGGAGGAGATCTTATTTTTAAAGGGGGGGAGACTTGAATCAAAAACCTGTTCATGGGCAAACATCGCATGTTACTAAATATCAAGGGTGACCTTTAGTAATAAAATGGTTCGTCACAAGGGACCTGTAATTTGGAGGGGTCCTATGGTGGTCCACGAAAGGGATGGTGCCCTTATTGTCCCTAGTAGGTAGGTAATATCGTAAAACGTTACAGAAGTCGGCGATCCTTCATGACATAAGAGGTGACCGATTATAAGACCATTTTGATGGACTGTACAGTATTGCTAATGGAACAGACCTATAAAGATTTCTAATACCTAGGTACCTACTCTTTCGCACTTTTCAAGATATGAATTCTACTCAATGGCTCCAGCCACCTTATAAATTTACTACACCAAACGATGTACTCTCCGTTGGCATATCTTTACCGATAATATGTATCGTGTTACTTGGGCTACGCTTCTATGCTCGCAGACACCATGGGGCGTATATTGGAATAGACGACTGGCTCATCGCCTTAGGAGTGCTTATGATAACAGCAATAGGGGCCTGCATGGTTGCTGGTGAACGCCTCAAAGTCGTTGGATATCCGACGCCCGTGCCATCCGGGACTACGACGGCCCAAGCATATGGGCTATTTCTGTTATCGCACGTAACAGCAGCTAAGGTAAGTAGTTTATCACTCTATCCTACGTAGCTAATAACCTGACGAAGCCAGCTTGAATTTGCGGTGCAAATACTAATGTGTTTTGCTTTTGGGTGCATCAAAACGAGCATCATATTCTTTTCGAGACGAATTTTCATCGGCCATAAGAAATCCATCTTCGATAAGGTATCATGGGCTTTGATTGCTCTATCAACTGTGTGGTCCATCACGTTTTTATTTGTTATCATATTCGGATGCGGCAAGAACGTACCGTTACGCTGGGCGCCGATAGAATCTACACAGGCTGCTGGTTGTGACGCCATTAGGCCGGAAAAGGCGCTCATAACATCGAATTTCGTCCTAGACTTGTTGATTCTCGGCCTTCCACTCCCTACGGTAGGACTTGTCTTCCTCCTAAACGATGTTCAGTCGCTTACATTGTAATATACAGATTTGGACGTTAAACATGTCGCCTAGGAGAAAGCTCGCGACCACCGGCATATTTCTGGTGGGATTCTTGTCTTTAGGTGCGGCGATTACGCGTGTGGTAATATTCTTCATAGTATCATATCAAAACCACGGAATGGACTACGATACAAACCGTGAGCAACTCCATTCCTACGGTTTACCACTTTTCTACGCGGGCTATGCATTCAAGTTAGGCTAACATTCGATCTAGAGACTGTCACAACAATGCTTTGGCTAGCCATGCTAGAATCTTGCCTCGCAGCAATTGCATCATGTCTCCCTACGCTTACTATCCTAGGAAAAAATGTCAGATTCCGGAAGTTGTACTATCGATTAGGTGGTGGTGCAGGTCTTTTATCGTTCTGGAAACCCGATTCAGGAAGCAGACGATGGCCACGCCCTAGTGGTGACAACGGTGACAACAATTCCTACGCATTTGCTTCTATGGACCCGACAAGGAAAAAGGGAAATATTGTTATTGAGCGGCAGATTTCAGTACGGAGAGATGGGCTGTTTGGATAACACAATTACTTCTTCAAATTTGTACATGAAAGCAACTGTTACGTCCAGTTTCTATTCCCAATTCTTTTAAACGCGACCATGCCCTACTTAGGTAGTCACATTATTGGACTTTAATGATTCGTGCTTCTGTTAGAGCGCATGCAGCGCGGGTCGAACAGCCACGACTAACCGTAGAGCGCTTGTACGAATTATTAATGCTGTCGTGATGCAAAGGCACTGAATGGATATGATAGTAACCAAGAAGTTTTAAGAGGATTTTTCAACTCACCTACGTACTAGAATAGTAATGAACCACTAGATACTAATATACAGGCCAAGTTCTTTGTTTATGACGTTTTATGATAGACAAAACCCAGGTCTTATGCTGATAGAACGAGCTTATGATGGTCCGAATCCTGATGCAACCTAAGCTTCAACCACTACCCAGCCCTCTGGTAGATGTAACTTCTAAAGGGAATGATATTATTGGCTCTTCAATATCTAACATGGTGAAAACAACAGGAATTTCAGTTTCGGTGAGCCCCCTTGCATATAACGATCTCCAATATTTCGGCCCAACTTACCGAGGTGAATTTAGTCAAACAAGAGATGTTTGTGCCTCATTAAGTAGGTAATAACCAGTAAGATCTTATATGATAAGAAGTGGCAATAATTAGATAAAGCAGTTTAATGTCTGTTGGTGAAGGTAACCATTAATGTATCGCTCTTTTCCTCACTTCTACAAATGAAAAGGGGGTGGCGTATTATGTTAGTAGCTTCTATGTACCTGATGGGGGGAAAACAAGGAAAAGGATAATTGGAGGAGTACAAACAATAATGGTAATGGAGTAATTGTAATATAAATTGGCAATGGGTAAAAATTAAGTAATATGTGAGAGGGAAAAGAATGGAAAAGAAAAAAACAAAAAACAAATCTCCAAGCACCCGTTTCGAACTATCCTAGATCAGTTGTGATGCTTGGACCCCGGGTTTCCTCATCGGTGTTTACACATTGCTCGTCAACTGAGCTAAGTCATTCATTTCAAACAAGTACTTGAAGAATTGTTAGAAGAGTCATTCTTCTTTTGATATATAACCCTACTGTCGGCCCCCGTACACTGTACGGATCCACTTTTATCCCTTTTCTGTTAATGCTGAGTCATCATGATTATTTAATCATCCCTGTTCAAATTATCGAACTTCGTCACTTGGGCCGTAAGACTTTGTTAAAATTCCTAGGCGAATTTTGAAATGGCTACGAAGTAGAAATAATCTGCCTTACAGAAAAGTTTTCGGTTTGATTGGAGTAAGTTCCGGTTTTCTTTGATATGTTTGGGGGCTTAGGCGATTAGAAGGTAATAAAGCCTTGCGCCTCACTGCTTGCCATTGCCACTCTAATATCTATATTAAAGTCGAAACTTCATGAAGAAGTGACTTGCGATGACATTGAAAGAATCTTGTATAACCGCACAGGATATTATGAAGATATCGAAATCGCCGACTTGAACAATCGCCTCTTCCTATACTTAGAAAGTAATATCAAAACAGCCAACCTTCCAAGACTATTATATGGTTACATTACCTCCAAACAACTCGTTATGTTTTTATGACACCGTCATTGGGAAGAAAAACGGCACAATCAACGATGATGAATATTGTCACTATTTTCTCGACCATTTGGCCGGTAGAACTCATGAAGACGATATCGAGAATTGTACCAGAAAGGACAAAAGACTGAACAGACGAGATCTACTTGCCGATCTTATTCAGAGTATGACCAAGGAGATGGATTCTGTAGAGGATAATTTATCTAGAGATAGTCTTCAATAGATGGCACGTTCTAAGATCATGTCTTGCAGATGCGGTTCCTTTAGAACTCGTTTTTAGAGCCTACCATACCCGTACCATGGAAGACGTTATAGCACAACACGACCTTCTAGATGAGAAACACGTTAAATATATTCGCCAGCTCTTAGCAACGGGAGCTTTGCTGGATAGACGAGCTGACGTCCTAAATTTTTGTCTTAGCCGAGGCGGATCCGATTATAAATGTAATTTTAAGTTCGAGGCAAACTTGATAAATGAGAAAGAGCATCCAAAAACGTTCGCTGTGCTAAAGGCATCGGAGTTTCGTAAGATGCATCTACGGCAGGATCCACCTTGGGTTATCTTTGATGTCGGTGGAGCTCTACCTGTCCCCTGGTAATCAAGTGGGAATGCATATTTAACAGTGGTGCTGTTCGACGCGCGGCCAGATATTTGAGCGTACGATTAGATTTATGTGCAATGAGATGCATTGGAGGTCTTTAGGTAATTTGTATGTTAAAAAAATAAGAATATTGCAGACCCATTATATTCTAATCATTTATAATGCAGTAAGTAATTGGTTGTCCAGATTAACGCAAAGAAATAGTTAGCGCGGTCCAAATGCGAATAAATCTCCGAAATATACCTTGAAGCCAAGTTCAGGTCGTTAGCGGATCAAGTTTAATAGGAAGCACGACATCAAAATTGGACCTGCGATGGTACCTTAAGCGATGACGCGACCTTCGATCCATATTGCGTGAGGCGTTCGGTTCTTTTTCCAACTCCATTGATCTCCTCGGAATACCTATTACAGCTGGTGGGCTATTACCTTGTTACCTAAGTTTTCATGATGTCGCCATCGGCGTGGTGGGGTATTGCTAAGTCCAGGTGCAGGGAATAAGGAAATATAGAAACCAATTTTTATCATAATTTTAGGCAAATATAACTAAACTCTGGGCTTTCTAATAGTCTTCTAGACTTGAGTGTCTGTACAATAGAGGCGCATGATCACTTACATATTCAATTAGCCACATAAGGGAAGCATTCGGTGTACTAATTACCCCTTTTTTCAAGTAGAGAGACAAGATGTCTGCTCAGACACCAGCCGTCACGCCTTCACCCGATAGGTCTGCTACGCCTTCCGAGCATGGTAGTGGGAAGTTCCAAGGAAGAGTCGAAGAAAAGCATCCTGTCTATATTATTCCTCCTCTTGCGCCAGCCTTAGCCGCCCAGGAGCCTCAAAGGGTGGAGGGAGCTCTGGGCGATGCCGTCTTGCGTTGCTTGAGAATTCGAAAGGGCCCCAAGAATGAACCGTTTGATCTCGATGCTGTGAGCAATAATCATAACCCACTGGATATGTGCAAGCAGAGGTTGACTTGGTTCAGATTGCTACGCAACCGAGTATATGGGATTCCGAAAGTGTGGAGGAGTATAAAGAATTATACATCCACCCGAAATGGGAGAACTGGTCTGCTTTTGACCCGAAGTTCCGTTGGACGTGGAGGGAAGAGAGAGCAGTGCGACGTAAAGTTGACTGGAAGATTATGGTGAGTACTCAGAATCACGGCCCTGATTAATCCAATTAATTCATGACTTGCTGGCTGGTTATACTGCGTTATTGCATATATATATCGCTTTAGTTGATATATATGCTCCAAAGCAGCATATCAGAATAGAGAGCCATGAATTAGTTGCGTTTATTCGAGCCTCAACTGAGGTTGACACCAAAGAGCAAAACTGATTATGCAGGTATGGGTATGTGTTATGTTTTCCGCTCTGAATATCGATCGACAAAATATCTCCAACGCCGTTTCGGACAATATGCTCGGCGATTTGGGCCTCACACAAGCGGATTATGTAAGCAAGCCCCTGACTCTAGCCACCAACGGAATCTAAACTTCGCAAATAGAATACTGGACAGACTATCGCTCGTGTTGGTTTCTTAGTTGCCGAACTCCCGTCTCAACTCATCTCCAAACGGTTTGTGGGCTTTCTCAATTGCTTTCAGAGTCGAAGCTAACATTTCCCAGTATTGGGCCGGATCTATGGATCCCGATCCAAATTTGCCTTTTTAGCATCGTGTCTGCTCTGCAATTCTTCCTCAAGGGCCGGGCTTCTTTCCTTGCTACTAGATATTTGATGTAAGTTGGGTTGCTGTTGGATTTTACAGGCCCTCGCTCACGAGATATTTAGCGCAACGTTCCAAGGTGGTTTTATCCCGTAAGTCACCGTCGCCCACTTCAAGCTTGGGCATTTTCTGATCCAGTAATAGTGATACAATCCTTTACCTCAGTTACTTCTATACCAGTACAAGAGTAAGTCGCAATACTTGTCGTTATTAGCATACCTATGCTTACCTACATACGTTTCTAGCTTCCGATTAGGTTGGCTTGGTACTGGATGTCCTCTCAGATGGGTAAGAATTCATGTTCTGTGATCACAGCGCTCTTCTGATATCTTGAAACAGTCGATATCGGGGTGGGTTTTAGCGCTGTAGGCCTTTTATCGATGCGAGGTATTCTGGGCTACGCTGGCTGGAGATGGTTGTTTCTCATCGAGTAAGTCATAGCCTTCATGAACTATCTAACCTAATGCTACTCCCGCTAACACATCCAGGGGCGCGTTCACTTGTAAGGAAAAAGTTCCAGGATTCATAATTCGGAAGTATTAATTGTTTTACAGTCTTGGTTGGCCTGTTTTCGTTCTTCCTCATGCCGCAATGCCCAGCGAAGACGAAGAGTTGGTGGAACCCCGAAGGTTACTTCACAGAAAAAGAAGAGAAGATTATTGTTAATTCAGGTGAGTTATCGAAAAAGATAGATCCGGAAAAGTCACCTCTGACTTTATCGCCAGTCATCCGAGATGACCCTCAGAAAGGAGGAATGTTCAATCGACAAGGCCTTTCAGTCAAACAGATCTGGGAATGCTCGAAGGACTACGACATGTGGCCGTTATATATCTTAGGCCTATTATTCGGCCTACCCAAATATCCGGTTAGCCAATATTTGACTATTTCATTCCGAGGCTTAGGATTTAACGTTATCCATACGAACCTGCTTTCGATTCCGAATGTCGTCGGTTCTAGTATAACTATGTTACTCATCACCGCCTTGAGCGAGTTGGTGAATAATAGGAGTTTCGTGTCGATGGCAGAAGACCTCTGGCTGTTACCTTGCTTTGCTGCTTTGATAGCTTTACCGGATCCGATCGGTTCTTGGGTGTACTTCGCTATAGCGACTGTCCTATTATCTTTCCCATAGTAAGTGTTGCCCCCTAGCTATAGAATAGCCTTGCTAATTAAGTCTAGCACCCATCCTATTCAAGTCGCATGGACAAGCCGAAACGCAGGATCAGTTCAGAATCGAACGGTTTCAGCTGCGTATGTTTGGCCTCATCTTCTATCCGATAAACATGCTAATCGGTCTAGTATATACAACATGTGGGTTCAAGTCAGTGGGATGATAGGGGCAAACAGTGAGTACTGCTTCGAGCTGGTAGAGTGTAAGTGCTAACCTGGGAAATTCATAGTATATCAATCCTCCGACGCCCCGCGATACTTCAAAGCAAACAAGGGCTTGCTAGTGATTTGTGTATGGATGTGTGTTGTACAATATCCTGGCACATACTTCTACTACCGCTGGAGGAATAATTCCAAGGCGAAGAAATGGGACGTTATGACCCCGGAAGAACAGGAGGAGTATAGAAAGAGCACGACCGACGAGGGTAATAAACGGTTAGTTCTCTTTTCCCATAAGTCTAGAGGTGCCATTACTTATCCGTTTCATAGGCTTGACTTCCGTTTCGCTACGTAGCTCCTGAATATGACTCATGGAATGGTTCGAGAAGCGCTAGCTTAGTTCAAAGTCCAAAGTCAACGTATGAGAAATATATATCAGAGGATCTTCACCAGAGGCACACCTGTTATAGCTAGGCTGTTTTGCTGGGTTTCTCATATTCGACGGGAACTGGTCGCGACGAGAGCCAAGAAATTGAATGACTTTCAACTTTCACATACTATGAGATATGTATGTACGTAGCTTATGCGTTGAGATGAAGAAATCCTTGGCTGTACCCCTTATTCAGGACCAATTAGCTTTCAACACCAAAATGCTGGAGCCGTGGAACCCTTATGATCGTCAACAGGGGCCCACAAGGCATGACATAGGCGACGATCACCAAATGGAGAAGGCTCCTACGTAATAGCACGACAGCTATCATAGCCGTAGAAAAACAAACGTAGTTTGACGAATCCCGAAGAACTGGCTTCTAATGCTCATTATTTGAGTTTGGTGATTCTGTCTAGGTATGCTGGTCGTAATTGTACATTTTGATACAACTAGGGTAGGGGTCGTCGTTTGCGGTCGTGCCTCATTACACATGTAGAACGAGGACCCTGCTCGCGATCATCCAATGCCTACCTACGCGAGCGTTTTCGAGTGGTAATACAGGTCTAAAATGGTATTACTTCTGACGTTTAAGCGTATTCATCGCCATTTCTATTAGGCCGTCCTTTGCTTCGCTAGCCGGGAATGCGCCGAGAGCGGAGATGGCTTTTTGCGAGTACTCTTCCGCTAGTGCTCTTGTCTGTTCGATGCCATCACTTTGGTAAACAAGGTCGCGTGCCTATAAACATGGTTAGTAAGCCGTTCGTATCACACGCCCATCGTTGTATGCCATACCCTTTGCACATCGCCTTCTTCCCCAAATTTCCTCCCCACCAATGTGCCCAACTCCGGCGTCGTCTTCCACGCAAAGAGTAAAGGTGCGGTCGCAAGACCTAGTTGTAAGTCCGCTCCGGCCGGCTTTCCTAAATCTTTCCCGGACTTAGTATAATCTAACATGTCGTCTACTAACTGGAATGCTAGGCCTAAATTCCGACCATACGAGTAGGCAGCATCGACAGTGTTCAAGTCGGCTCTGCCAAGAAGTGCTGCCGCTCGGCATGACTTGGATATCAAGCTGGCTGTCTTGAGATAAGTCTTTTGTAGATAGTATGTAAATATCTCCTCCGTCCACTTGGGATTTTTTTCGTCCCGCGCAGTATTTTTCAACTGCATAAATTCGCCCTCGACAAGGTTTGCTATCACTGTCGCTAAGAGTTCAACCACTTCCGCGTTTCGTAATCGCGCCAAGGCGACCGAAGCTCTACCTAGGAGAAAGTCACCGGCTAATACGGCCATCTTATTACCGAACTCGTGATTCGCAGATGGGGATCCTCGTCGCGAAACTGAATGGTCTATGACATCGTCGTGTAGAAGTGAAGCAGTATGGATTAGCTCTGTGATCTCGGCTAGGCGGCGCTGGGATGGAAGTACGTCATTTTCGGCAGACTCGGGTTGCGAGGAGTATTCGGCATGGGGTGATGAAGGATTTACATCTGCAAGGACACCGAGCGGAGAAATAGAGGAGTCTATCGTGGCCATGGTCTGCGACGGCGGGGACTCCGGAGCTTTGGGACATATCGAGGTAGCTCTAGACATCAGTAAAACGATTAATGGCCGGACATGTTTTCCCTCGGCTTGCGTATAATATTTTGCGACTCGATCTAAAGAAGGGTGTCCCGACCCAAGAAGCTGGCGGATATTCCCCGTTAAATGTTTCATTTCCTTGGCGACAATTCGTAGAGGGTCAATGGGTAGTTCGGATTTAGTGGCTCGAGTAACAGCATTAGAGACCATGTTCGAGGCAACAGACACCGCCGCCGCCCATGCTGAAGATCTTTTTGGGCTATTATGGTATAACGATTTGGATATGCGTATTCTAAGATCTGAAGAAGTCGACCTTTGACAATCTGAGCAGGGCGAAAAAACCGAAGGTCGACCGGCGGCTGCGCGGGTTTTTGAGAGCACGGAAGCTCCTATTCGGAGCTGCATGGCGTCCGATTTACTGGCCTAGAGATTTCTCTAGGTACCCAATTGGTTTAATTACGTCGTAAAGGAGGTGGTCGGAACATTGGGGGAACAATATCGCGCGGTTTGGAGTCCAGAAGAGGAATGCGATAGTTTGGGTGCTGACACAGATGACGATGATTTACAATTAAAAATTTAGTGAATCGATGGGCCGATGGAGGGCGTTTGTGGCGCAGATTCATGATTCATGTGGCTTGAAGCTTCATAATCGGTATTTGAAGCACCGACTGGTACCTAAATACCAAGAGACGGGACGATCGACGCGATCGATAAAGGTGAGACCCACTCAAGCTTTACTTGGTGAATTCAATCTTGCTGCCTTCCATTTGACCTACCTTTATTCATAAACATCATGCGCAACACCACAACCAAATATGGTACTTCTTACTATGACCCCCTCCATAGTGGAGGCATTGAATAGATTGGGCGATACGAACATCGATGATATACCCAGCGGCAACGAGAACAGTCCGAATTCGAAGGGTTATAGCGAACCATCGTTGAGGGATCCCGAACTTGGAAGACCCATAAGTCACGGACAGATCATCGATACATGGAAATGCTTGAAGAATAAACATGATGATGCGACAAAACTGGAAGAACTCCTTCGTGGTGCGATGGTCTATATACCTCCCCCGCCTCCAAAACCAGAACCGGTTCGTTTTCTATTCTCTCGAGTAGAATATTGGATGGGTTGACTAATTCGAGTGTCTATAGACCGACGAGTATAAAGCTCTAATGGCCCGATTGCGTCACGAGGAAGAAGAGAGATCCTATGAGCGCATGCTGAAGAAAGCTCCACCCAAAGAATCGTTTGCACGGAGGTTTCCCGATGCCCCCATGGCGCATTCTTTCGCCGAAGTTAATCGACCGACGAAATCCTCGGATCTAGGAGATGATATCGAAAATGGTGATGTCCAGAAACAGATAACACTAGTTATCAATTTCCTCCTCAGCATTTTTGGTGCCGGCGCAGCGCTCTGGATAGCAGCCAGGTGGTGGAGTGTCCCGGCGCGACTATTCTTAAGTTTAGGCGGCAGTATCGTCGTTGCCATCGCAGAAGTCACCGTCTACTCTGCGTATACATGGAGAATGGCAGAGGGTGAAAAGATTCAGAATAAGAAGAGGGAAGTTAAGCAAATCGTTCAAACCTGGGTTATTGGAGAAGATGACAACGACAAGAAGGGTCACGACGAGCCTCTAACGATAGACGAAACGGAACCCGCGACGAATCTCCGAAGAAGGATCAAAGGACCGACATAAAGTCCATATAAACAAAATTTAATGTCAAAAATCTACGAATCTGCTGCATCTATTTCAATTGTTTATTTATCTTTATACATGATTATAATGCTAACACTAGGCACATACAGTAAACCTTGGCCATAGCGATTCTACTATACAACGATATTTTTATATAACGATATTTTCAAGGGGATTTTGCGATTTTGTATATAAAATAACGATAATTTTCCCATAACGAATATCGTTAACTTTTGGGTATTTTACTTAAAAAATCGTTATAGGGAAGTCAAGTTTTAACTAAATAGTACTATATAAAGTGGAATATTGCCTTTAATAGCCAATTATATTTTTATATTATTTTATTTAATTTTTTATCGCTAGTAATTGACAAAATTTGACGAGATATCCAGGAGCTTAAAGGCAGCGATTGTGAGAACTAGAGTTGAATTTGAGGTAAGGGACGATCGAAAGGTATTGAATGTACTCTTAAAGTACTTTCTCTAGGAATCTAAGCCTATTAATACATGATAGGTACAAGATCCACATTTCGGGTGGATAACCCCCTTCATAGCGATAACTTTGTATAACGATATAAGAGTGGTGTTTTTTGGCTATCGTTATGGCCAAGGTTTACTGTACTATATACTCTGGGTGGGCAGCCGTCAAGTAATCCTTGCCAGCCAATTGTCAGCTGTCTCAATTTTATTCTATCGGGCACGGACCCATGTTTCCACCCCCACATTCGCGTCATACGGAGATGCGCAAGACGCGTCTGGGAATTTAGACCAATTTACGCGTCTCTCTCTTCAAATTGATCCTCCACTTTTGCGCTTCAATGCTTTTAAAGCATTAGCAGGGAAAAATCAATCCAATTATGCTATACCCTTAGCCTCAGCACATTTAATCCGATATTCTTCCATCTCTTCATCACCAATTCATCTAGAACCGTGATGTTGGAAAATTGCATACATTAACTACAATGGGCTCGTCAAATTTCGGTGACCAGAGTGAGCCGAGGTATGTACTGCTTCAACTAATCGCTTGCACCACATATACATATACTAACAACAGCACAATAGGTTTGTGGTAAAACACAATCGGACGTCAGTATTGCTATACGCTACATCTACGGGACTGAGTTCCAACTAACTATTACAGACGGCCACTACGAACCTACAGCAAGCGTACTGCGCCAACCGATACGGCAGAACCTGTATCCAAGAAGCGACGCATGGAGCAAACAAGTGCGATTCCAGAAACGAAGGATGAGGCAGTGAAACCACTTCGTCACTCCAGCGTCTCTTGTTCCTCTCCGACTCTACCTCCACCGCAACCCATAAAGAAAGGCTCAATCATGAGCTATTTCAAGATTATGCAACCACTACCGAGCAGCTCATTAATCTCTCCAGAGCCGACTTCTGGACCTACCGAACCCGCCAGTACACCTCCGTCGTCCCCTCCAATGCCTAACTCGAATCGGAAGAAACGACGAAGGCTTACTACACGTATAATATCTCGAGCTACATCTGAAGATCCAAACCAGGAGGATGAAGCTGAAGGGGAAGATAAGAGATTAGACGAAATAGGCGGTAGATTGATGGCATCAGTAAGCCCAGCAGATGTGTTATCTGATGCTAGTTCGAACACCCACAGCCAATCGACTGCAAAACGGAAAAGGCAATTAACAGCTAGGAAATGTGAGCGGAACAAGAAGGAAGCCTCCAAACCAGGTGCAGTCCAAACAACGCTCAGCCTATCGATCTCGGATAAGGGGTTCACGGAGTGCAAGGAATGTGGCATGCTCTACAATCCTCTCCATAAACAGGATGCGAAATATCATGCTAGACGTCACGCAGCCATGCTGAAGGCGAAGTCGAGTACTCATGACAATGAAATATCGGATTAAACCAAAACAAAAGTGCCATGTGGTCTAGTAATAAGGTGTCTCTTAACTCGGGTAGAGTCGACGTGACTGCAACGGTACATACCAACGTACTACATGAAGGCCACCAGCAGCGCCCCAAAGCATTATAATCCAACCATTTACCCGAAATCGGTACTGTCCGACACTAAGCAATAGTTAACAGTCTCAACAAATTCGGCATTCTCCGAAGCCGCAAGCAGACGTTGGAACGCCAAAGCGACAAGGGAAATATGTTGCGCCTACCTCATCGTCCTCATGTCGCTATGCGCGTTCTTCGGAAATTGTCTTCCAGACAATGCCTAAGCCAAACATACAAGTGAATGGCAATATACTAATCTTTCAGTACATATACAAAATGGCCCTATATAAATTTCCAGTGGGGGTGTCATGCAACGACGCAATAGAAGTCGGCATGGCGGGCATTAAAAAGTTCAGCCGCAGCGTGATCAATTTACGTTGGGCGAACGTTTGACAAGTCATTGATGAGATTCCCCTGATTGACCCCTGATTTCAATATGCCGGCAAAGCTTGGCATACATTGTGTCAACGATTTTCATCGGCATCCCCCTTTTTCCTAGCCGCCGAAGCTGTATAGCGTCATTTATAATAAATGACAATGAGCGCCATTCCTTGGAAATCAAGTCGCATTTCTCCACACATTCGATCAAGCATATCAACCATCCCAGATATTGTGCCCACGCGATAAGCGGAACCCAGGCGAATTCGCCTATCATTCCATCAGTCGATCGCTCACTAGCCGCGTATCTAAACGACCACATACAAGGGCGGGTGCTTTCGAAGAAGCCTTTCGGTTCTCTACCCGAGCGGGCAATGTCAAGTTGATCCTCGGCTTCTAGGTATTCCACCCGATTGCCAGAGTGTGTGTGGTGACGCGCGATGGGTTTGATAATTGTGATCTTCATACACTTTGCTAACTTGTTCATGTTCTCAGTCCCTCACAAACATTTGGTTTGACCGATGGAGAGACCACAAAAAGCCAAGACTGTTGCGCAAATATCAAGAACACCAAATAGAAAGATATTTTCATCACTATTAGGCGCCTCGTTGCCGCCGTGCCGCAGACCACTTCGAGCCAAAATGAAACCCGGCAGAAAACGGGTAGAAAGACGATATCATCATAGATAGCGCATAACTATCGCGGCAATTTACACGCGTCTATTACACATCATATATTGATGGAACATCGGGACGTTGTTAAATATCCCGCTTTCAAAGATATTATACGGATCACAGCGAAGGACAACATCCATGGATGTTAGGTCCACGTGCTACCCGCAAACCGGTCTCAGGAAAACGAGGCTTACCACGCGACGACCTTGTGCAAGGTTAGCCTACGCTGTGTTTGCGGTTCACGCAAACAGCATAAGCTGGGCATCGCAGACAAAGTTTTTGGTGTTAGTGTATAGTACTGTATAACTACCTAGTAGGTCGGAGTTGACTAATATCATCTCAATGGTATTAAGTGAATGTATCTATGCTAATTGGCGTGTGTGCCCAAGGCTTCCAAACGAGCACAGGTAGCTAGGCAAACTAAATTTAACCTAGATTATCAGCGATACACATGCCTCAGCATATTATGATGACCCAACATTAGGCGATTATGAATGTGTTGTGTATTATTTGTAAGACTGTCAAATCGCGGGGTTAGCACCTTTCGTCCACCACAGTGGGGTGCGACGGCCCGCCCTCGTGGAGTATGTCGCTCCGATTCAAAGACCAAAGTTAAGCCTCGTACAACGCGCTGCAACTCCATCACCAGCATCTCAAGCCAAGACATAATATACGACACTCCAAAACATCGTTACATACACTATAATTATTAAGCTGGACCGTAACATCCAAGACCAGGCACACAATGCACGGAGAAGCAGCTAATTCATGTACAATGCAGGTGCTGAATTTAACCACTAACATTCTCCTAATCTGCCGATCCTAGTTAATGGGGTCCAACTCTTGGGGTCAGTCTCTTTCTTCGGACCAGACTGTGTATTGAGGACTCTGATATCATATAGATATATTACCTAGTTACAATAGATATAACCCGGAATGTGGGTATTTCTCTAAAGTAATTAATAAGTCGCTATGTACGTACGAGTACACGCGGTCCAGAACACCCCATAAGGTGGAGCCAATTGATGATTACCGAAAAGGGTAATTTCATCCCCTATTTAACCAATCACGTAAGAGGACACTAGGCCGCCAACGAATAGTCTAATAACGGTAGTTACATACAAAGGGGGGTTGCTTGTCTCTTTCAATCCCGTTTATCTGGATTTCGCTTGACAAATACATGGTCATCTATTTTCACACAAAAAATTGTGATTGTTTTCCAAACGTAAGTAAATCCAGGTCCAGGCCAGTTAATACATACGACTTGAGACTATACGCTTGGTACATGGCTACACATCCACAACTTTCGTGGCCGTTGACACTGCTGTATTTATACTGTACTTAGCCAGTACCTCAATACACCTACATCCATGAATATCGTACAAACTCACAACGCACGACATACGTATGTATATGTAAACAACCTTACATCTATGCATATCCTACCTAGCACTTATGATTGGGCAATTTCTATTGCATCGCGCAGGGTTACCATAATCTATCTATCCATCTACTGGGACGCTCTTGGGATTACACCAAGGCTTCCTTGATGTTATGATATTAATTATCGTCAACTTACCGCCCCGCCATACACCGAATCATTCTACCTGCTCAGAACCGAGTCTTTCAATATCCTAGAATCCTAGAATCCATCTTCGGCTACATTGAGTCGCGTGAACTTCCTATCACCGGTGAATTACTGCTTTGCCATAAGCCTCCCCACTCGGCCCATGAACACTACTTTATACATCAATATATATTGCACCTCGCGTGAGAGAGTGCGTGTTACCTGAGGCCCAAGAAATCATATATAAATGTCATGTCGTACCTCATGATTCATATCAAGAGTCCAATCAATCAGTACCCCTCAAGCAACTACACCTAACTCTTTATCGTGTACCACATTATACCTAAGATACAGGAAAGTCATGTGTATCATCGGCAAGTTGGTATTAGGTGCCTCTTTGCTCCTTAGTACCATCCTGCCTAGCGTTGTGGCTCAGGTCCCTCCATTCACCAATTTTACAGTCTATCCAAATGAGGCCGAAGCCTCACATGTTCCAAAGTACTCCCCCCTCAGACCACCAGCCATCCCACTGGCTGTTAGAAGCCCATACACTAGTGTTTGGTCTTCCACCGCTGGACATGGGACACTGAACAGCCAAAATCCCATCTTTTGGTACGGTCAGGGGCTAGGATGGGAAGGAATCGTCGTGGTCGACGGCAACTCCTTTGAGTACATGGGCACCGTCATCAACGACTTTCCGGAGCTGTCATACTTCAACACTACGGTTCCCCTTGAGGTCAGATTTGATTCTCAATTTTCAAACTTCACATTCCTTGCTGGGCCAGTGGTTGTCACGGCAAGCTTCTTCTCGCCGGTTATACCTAAGGACATCTGTCGGAGTTCCATACCGCTTAGCTATCTCACAACTACTGTCCAATCAAACGACGGCAAGCCGCACCATGTTCAGTTCTACTCCGATGTTAACGCCCAGTGGATAGGCCTAGGAAATGAATTCGATATCATAAAGGAATTCCATACTGGCCCGGTAAATGGGAATGGGACAGGAAATACCACCGACTCGCCAAGTAGCTGGATATTACGCCCGAGATTTCCTTCACTGTTTGCCGAGGCCAACCAAATCCCGCGGTGGGGAAATATGTCGTTCACCACGAGTTCTATGGGTGCTTCAAATTTCACATACCAAAGCGGGTCCGCAACGAGCGTTCGATTTGGGTTCGTTAACAATCGCCAGCTCACTAATGATGCCGGGTCAGCAACGCGAGGTTTTGGAAACCAGGAACCTGTCTATGCCTTTGCGCATGATATGGGAGATGTGATAGAGACCTCTGTTCGCTACACTATTGGCTCAATTCAATCTCCTTCTGTGAGATACCTTCACAAGGGAGGGCTGTCAAATTTAGCTCCTTGGTGGGAAAAGTGTTATGGGGATATGCATGAGACGATTCGTTTCCACTGGAACGACTTCGATACAGCCGCTGCACTTGGACACGAGTTCGAGAAGAAACTGAGGGCTGATGTTAACGCGTTTTATAAAGGCAGCGAACCCCCTATTTTCGGCAACAGCAGCGCACCTGCCGCATTTAAAAGCAATGGGACATTTAGAGCTTCTGATGTTTTGAATGGAACTGACCAATATGGTCAACAATACGAGTTTGACTCTAACTCAGCGTATGGATACCTCGAACCTGGTAACGCAACCGGACTTGCCGTTCCCTTCATTTCGGAGGCAGAATCGTATTACGCAATAGTAGCATTATCAGCGCGGCAGGTAATGGGAGCCTACGTTTTCGCAGTTCCTCCCACTTCTACCGACAGTTCGGATTCATCAGTAGAGCCGCTTATGTTCCAAAAAGAAATATCCAGCAACGGCAACATCAACACCGTCGACGTGCTCTACCCCGCCTCCCCCTTTTTCCTGTACGCCAACCCGACGCTGCTCAAATACATCATGCAGCCGCTGCTCGAGCTGCAAGAAGGCGACTTCTACCCGAACACGTACTCGACGCACGACATCGGCGCGCACTTCCCGCTGGCGACGGGCCACGTCGAGGGCACGGACGAGTACATGCCGGTGGAGAACAGCGGCAACTTCATCCTGATGGCGTACGCGTACTACAAGTTCACGGGGGACGCGCGCTGGCTGACCCAGCACTACGACCTGCTGTCGCGCTTCGCGCAGTACCTGCTCGACTACTCGCTCGTGCCCGCCGCCCAGCTCAGCACCGACGACTTCGCCGGCGAGCTCGCCAACCAGACCAACCTCGCCGTCAAGGGCATCGTCGGGCTGCAGGCCATGTCGGCCATCGCGCGCGTCGTCGGCAGCAGCGACGCCTCTCTCTTCTCCGAGCGCGCCGCTTCGTATTACGAGCAGTGGGAGGACCTCGCGATCGACCCGTCGGGCCGCCACACGCTCCTCGCGTACCAATGGCGCTCAAGCTGGGGCCTTTTGTACAACATCTACTTCGACAAGCTGCTAAACATGGGGCTCGTCAAACCCCACGTCTACGAGATGCAGAGCCGCTGGTACGCGAGCGTGTCCCAGGTCTTCGGCGTGCCCCTCGACAACAGACACCACTACACCAAGAGCGACTGGGAGATCTGGACGGCGGCGACGTGTGGCGCGGGGACAAGGCGGCTGCTTGTAGATGCCGTGGCTTACTGGCTCAATGAGACTAGTACTAACTTGCCCTTCGCGGACTTGTATGAGACCGTTGGTCAGGGCGATTACCCGCTGCAAATTGACCACTTCAGCGCGCGGCCCGTCGTCGGCGGACATTTCGCGCTCTTGGCGCTGGCGAAGACGGGGCAGATGGCTGGTGCCACCGGCGGCGATACGACGGGGAGTTTGTTTGAGAGGAATGGGACGGATCCACTGCCGCGCCCGGATACGCCGAGTGTGCCCCCCACGTACGCGGGACCGGCGTTTAAGACGAGGGCTGTGAGGAAGAAGGATGAGAGGAAGGATGTTTCGTGGCTTGGAAAGGGCGGGCGATGAGTTTTTGGTGGTGGGATATGTACTGAGGTGCGGAAATACGTAGGTATCAATGAGGCTGGCATTTAGGGGAGACGTGGACGTGTAAGACTTTGTGATCTTGCTTTTATTTCTCCGCATTTTCTTTATCTACTTTACCTTCTCGAGCTGGGTTCTCTCTAGTAGTGGTCTGGTTGCATTTACATACATGTAGGGAGATGTAAGCGGTGTTAGTAGACTCGATAGAGCTAGCTTGAAGAGAGAATAATAACCTTATGTGTTGTTATTCAGCTTCGATATTGCGCGAATGCTTTGGACGCCATACTTGATTAGTAGGTCAAAACATAATCACTGTGGTATGAGTATGAGAAGCGGCCATACGTTTTGTGTGTAAGTTCCATCGAGTCATCTGTAACCGTTGATACTAGGAACGTTTTCATCACATTTCTATATAGTGGTGGGGTAGGAGTGGAAGACTACACGCCACGTTGACGACGTGGGATCCGGTGTGGTCGGTCGAGTAACATATGTACCTCGGTACCTATAGAATAACTCCATTGGAAGGTGAATGTCGCCTAACCAAATGATTATCTCTGTTTCCCCTTTTTTCTTGATCAGATGAGCAAATGGCATTAAAAAGGATTATTTTTGCAAGGTCGAGGTATGCATTAGTCCAGATGGCGTCGTCGGCAGCAGCACTTTGAAAATCATCTTTTCTCCTCCGATACGTGAATCAATTTCTAGTCGTTTTTACGACATAAGAGGTCGATGTAACCACAACGGTCATTGATGCCTTACTACCCAGGGTGGAGGGTAGGTATGTAGGTTCATTTGTGGTGCTTTGCTTCTAGATCTCATTCATTGGAGTCCAGCTGTACCGTCAGTATGCGATAATTTCGGTCGTGCAACCATACCTCCTGAAGACATACTAAATAGTGAGGCCCTCAAATCCTTCGAAGGAAAAATGAACTCAAGTTCGTCTCCCTACTTTCGAAAAAAATACAAATTCCATTCACGATGAAATTGACGACACTCGACAAAATGCCCTCGTTGTGGACCCCTGAACTGATCCAAAACTTCTACAATGCAGTACGAAAACTGTACAACTTAACACAAACGCCTTGTGAAGAGGGTTTATATGGAAACTTGCCAATTCAAGAAGATTTTAACGAGTACACTCTGCGCCTGGGAGATGAGCTCCAGTTAGCAAACATTATCGCATTTTTAGCCCAAGCACAGGAGGGACAAGCGGCTGTCTCAGGGGTTTGTGTGGAAGAAAACGAAGATAGGTTAATCATTCGTCTCGCCAGCAACGAGGCGCCTTCCCAAACCACTCTAGATGGCCTCAATAACATCCTCGATATCATGAGCAAAGGCGTAAGGAATCGTATGTCCTTAGTCCAATTCATTCATAATTCTCATCTAACTAGAGGCTGCTAGGTATGAGTAAAGATGTCTTACAGGATATGATATATGAGAGTGTACTGGATCTAAGCCATGAGCGGATCTTACAACGAATACGTCCTTCCTGGGTTCCCGCCCCTGGATACTTCCGCAAGGGGGAACAGCCGCTATGGGAACGAACAGATAAAATACTGCATTATCAAAAGTGCGAATTAAAACTCAAGCCAGGGCTCGAAAGACTGATTTCAGAGCTGAGGTTACTGGAGAAAAGACCCAGCGAACAGGATCTTCGGGTATCTTTGAAATCCATCGTTCAACGCTGCGCTGACGTATCTCATGATGAATATTGCCGCCCTTCCATGCAACAACTACGCCAAGACCTAAAGAACGAAGAGAGTAAATGGAGGACATCACTGAAAGATATCGTACAAGTCGATAAACTTGCTGGGTATCTTGCTCTCTCTAGAGATCTCGCAGAGCTGGCTCTACAGACCCAGTACCGACAACTGACCCAGGAAATCGACCTCGAATTACTCCCAGCACAAGAACCTCTGAAACCGGTTGGGTCGCTGAAACGATGTTATGTCCATGCTGAAGTGCAGCTTATCCTACATTACGAAGATGAGCCTCATGAAAAGCCTCCTCGCGCAATTGGATGCAGCAAATCGGCGTGTTTTCTCTGCGATTCTCTGATACAAAAGCTAGGAAAATATCGCATTTCGCGCACCCATGGGCGATTTTTTGATACATGGGGTATCCCAAATATCAAGCTAGAAAGACCGGAACGCTTCAGATCTGCCATAGAAGGCATGATCAAGAATATGGATGAATTGAACCCAAAAGGCGTCCAGTTGTTCAGACCTTACGCCCTTCAGAGCACGGCAATACTTCCCCGTGCCAATATTTCAGATCTTACACTTCAAGTGGAGGCGTTCAGTCTTGGGGATGCATAAGCTGTCACCTGTGATAGACAGCGGTGGCAGTGGGATTTTCAACACCATCTGGATTAAAACGCCGGATCGTGGCCTGCCTAGTGGCCTGAATCGGCGGATGCTGACCAAGAACGCCCGGATTGCCAAGATTCGCGCCATTACTGACGACGGCGACAAATACCACTTACTCACTCTCCTAACACGCCCGTAGCGTTAGGTAATTCCACTGGCTTTTCTGATTGCTAAAGAAGCTAGAAAAGTCAAAATATTCCTTGGTCTGAGGACGACGATTGAGTACTTAAACTGCTCTATATTATCTTCAATGCGAGGTGGAGTGCTTGCAGTGGTTTTATGCACTAAGTTCCAACGTTTACAGAAGATAAATGCATTCTGATTTTCTTTATATATGAGAAAGCTTATGTCGGATAAGGAGCTCGGGAACATGTATTTTACTTTTCCTCCAGTTTTTGGATTATTTTCGTTCGAGGACATCTATGCCACCAGCGTCCTCTATCGCATCCAATCAGAATTGCTCACCATATGGAAACAGGTATTGGTATTGGTGAAATATCTCTGTACGCCCGGGGCAACGACGGAGGATCATGCCTCTTTCTACGCCTTCCTGGACAAGTACATCCACCATAGATTCCAACTCATAGAACTCTGCCACTGCCATGGCCCAATTTCCTGTTTCCGGGGTGTTCAACTTCGCTCCGTACTGGCGCAATAGGCGGAACATATCCATGTTCTCTTTTAAAACGGCCAAGATAATTGGCGGAGTGCAGCCCTCGTTGACATTTGCCCCTGCCTCAAGAAGCATCTTAGCCATGGAAAGCCTTGATAATCGCGCTGCGAACATAAGTGCTGTATCGGCAACTAGCAACAATTTTGGATTTGGATCTGCCCCATGGTCGAGAAGTAGCTTAACAATATCTGGGTTCCCGCCCTGCACGGCTTCTAGTAGGGGGTTGTGTATATAATCGGATTTTGACCCATTGATCAAGTTGGGCCAGGGGACTTGATTGAGTAAATATTTTACCATGTCCACATGGCCCGCGCCCGCCTTTCTAGTAACTTGAGCCAGTAGGCTTGTATTGTTTTGGAACATGGAAACACCACGCTTGTAGTTTTCTGGATGTCGCGTTGAAAGCACTGCTTTCCTTAGGCTGTAATATTCTTCACACACTCCCGCGTCCAAACCGATGGTCATGCTGTCGAGTGCAAAGTCAAAAACCTCCTTGTGACCATAAATAGCAGCCCACTTGAGAGCGATTTCTTGTAATAAGTGATATAAGCGTGAATTTAGATCGAGGTTCAGGTCGGAGGAGTGGAGAACGCGTAATATAGACACGTCACCCTTAAAAAAAGCCGCGTCAAAGACAGCGCCGAAGACGCGACTAGAATTATATCCCATCACATGTTTAGCGAATAGCCGGAAGCCCTGAGAAATAATCTTCTCGACGTGTGATCGGTAACCAAGATACACGGCCGCAACAAAAAAGTCCGCCTCCAGCTCTTCATCGGAAAATTTAAGAGGCAGTGACAATTCAGAATAGAACAGATCACCCGTGTCAGTAGACCAGCCTCCATTGACGAGAGCAAGATGAGACAGCGATTTCAGACGAGCCTTAACAGCGGTCTCCTCTACGTCGCCGACCTGCTCAGAGATAGCCACCGCGGCACGTCGAATGCGATAGAGGAGCGATTTGGGCTCTTGTTCGATCCACGCCTGATAAGCTATATATTCAACCAAAAAGGCGCGCCACTGATCGAACCGACAAGATGAAGTTTTCCAATCAACATCCATTTCGATGGTATCGAGGAGACGGAGGCGGAAGATAGTGTCGTCCACAAAATATTTAAACTGACCTGTGAGTGGCAGTGATTAGATACGAAGTGCAAAGTTAACAGGTTTATAAACTGACGGCTGACGAGACGTAGTCTCATGAATCGCTTCAACTCGCGAGAATATGCGAACTCCTCGAATATGAGATCGACGATCTCCGGGGCGAAGGCGAAAAGGTGCATGATGGCCAAAGGATGGTGGATAATGCTAGCAGACCGGTCATCAACATAGGCACAAGTATTGTTCGCTCGATGTCTTAAGCGGATGCCTACCTGTAAAACATGTAAGAAAATCCGGGAGAAGCTGGGAGCCGTTGGTGGTAGGAGATAGTTCAAACGCGCCTTGGAAGCTGAAACGACGTGGCTAAATACATGTAATTTTGGCTGGCTGGTTCACAGCATATCGTTCGCTGTCCTGAAAAAAACAGCCAGCGTAGCCACCGAAAGAGAAAAGCCACATACACGGTGCCAAGATATTTCAATTTACACGGACTACCTAGGTCAACCTCCAATACAATGCGCCGTCGCCCCCAATTTCACGGAGAATCATTTTTATCAGTGTCTTTGTTACTGGACCGAAGCGTGTAGGAAGCCCTCCGCATAGGCCAACCAAATTTTTCACACCTACCTACCTAGTGAGGGTTTCAATCTAATGTAGGTAACTATAATTGACAGGTTATTACGGCAGGCTCTTGTCAATGTTTTAGGAATCAATGTCATCTTCTTGGATACTTTTTTACATGCATTTATAGCCCATGAGCTCTCAGCCTATTTCGACTTAAACTACGTTTTGGGACTCACAAACCAGGCTTTCTACAGGGTGTATGAGAAAGGGACCTTTTACATCGAGACCTGGGCTTGCGAGACCAATGACCTGTCTAAATATGATACTTGCCTGGTAGGAAAGGTACATACATTATGCTCGGTGGATGCGGACGCAAGGTAGATGACGCTGTTTCAACTTAGCGTGACAAATATTATTGAACATGGCAAAGTAAATTACAATAGTATTAGAGAATATTCCTTCTCTCTAAATGGACGATGGAGAGCGAATATGTATGGGGGGGGGGGGGGGGGGGGGGGGGGGGGGGGGGGGGGGGGGGGGGGGGGGGGGGGGGGGGGGGGGGGGGGGGGGGGGGCGGGGGGGGGGCT